TATTTATAACGACTTCTTGCTAATATTTTCTCATAATATGATTCATTTCATTTAGTATGAATTAACTAAGAAAGATTCTGCGTTTCAAATAGAACAATAATGAGCAAACAACGCGCACGGTTTACACGTGCGATCAGTCCTACGTTTTTGGACGAAAGTTTGGTAAACAAGTATTGGCTTTGTTTGACAATAGTTAAAATATTTATGGGTACGTGTGCTTAAATATTTAAACTGAATGAAATAATTTATTTAGTAAAAATATAAATAAAGAAGAAATACGCAATGGTATTGGTAAATAAATGAAAAACAGCAAATTTATAGCTGAAAGTTAAGCAAACGATATTTTTATATCAGAGCAATATAAAATAAGAAATTTTATCGGCTTGATAGTCATGTTATATGCTTGGATCGACAACTGAGTGTTTTTCGCAACAAAAAAGTTAAATATGAATGATATCTATAAGAGCATGTAAATAATTTATAAAATATATTAACTGAATACATTAATATTTAATTAAGACATCTACGATGATTAACAAATCCAATAAATCGTATAAATTAATTAGCCTAAATACTTTGCTCTATACGAACTGCAAAGATTGGTAGTGGATAAGAGAAAATTATAAATTATAAATATTTACCAAATAGAAAGCTTCATGGCGTAAGCATTACAAGATAAAATTTCAATTGTATTGGTTATCATATGAAAATAATATTTTTCGTAGTTTATAATAATTTTATTAGATTATGGTTTCCGATAACGAAACTGTGTTTGTTTTACTCATTATATATTAGAAGACCAACTCTATACAATTCATAATTGTTGATATATTAATTGAAGGTCCTTTTTGGATAATTTTCAATAGTGTCAAGGTCGCTACTATGGTAAATTTATTATCAAAAATAAATAATTATATAATGAATAAAACTAAATGATAAAACTATACGATAAAATTATCCCAATGTCATGAATAAATAAAATTTAAAAATATGAACAATTAAAAATATCCTAAACTCCATTGTTTTCTACTCTATAAAAATCGTACCGCCACATATTTGTGTTGTAAAATCGATAAACAAATTCACCGTCACATATTTGCGTAGTATTATTTATAAACAAAAATACCGCATATAACAAATAAACTAATATTATTAAAATTTCCTCATATCACGGAAACATAATAATAGAGCATAACTAAGCCGACCCAAAACGCGGACTGAATTTGCATAAATATGTGTTTATAAAAAAGACCTAGATTTATGCACAGATTTGGGTTAAATTCAAGTTCTTTTCCGCACATACTTCAATATTATAATTTTTCAGAAAAACCTCGTATTACAAATTCCGAAATATAAATGTATAAACATAAAAAAGTATTGATAACTATTATTCAATATTTTGTTGTCGCTATTAGAAATTTCATGGTGTTGAATATAATACCGGTTTTCTACCCACGTCAAAACCTTGGCGTAATAAGACTTGATAATATAGCACAATAATTATAAAAAGAAATTTATGACGAGGTAATGTAGAAACAATAATATATTTATACTGTATATATTTATAAATAAACGTTTGAGATTTGTTCAAGTAGATGAAAAAATTCCACGACAAACTTTGTACTCCATTATAAACAAATATATAAATAAAATTACAGGTTTATTAGAAGTATATCGTGAATGAATTCTGATAGTAGTGTATGTGGGTCATATTTATTCATTATGTTTCATAATGGGAATAATAGAAACTTTAATAATCAAATTAATAGAAACTATTAGAAATACACAAAATCGAGTTTCACTTGAAAACCGCTTTTTGATGATTATTTTTATCATGGTTAAAAATTTATTAAATCGTTTCATTTTTACTACCAGAAAGTTAAAATAAGTTTATATTTTGAAGATAGTTGTACATGTTTTTTATAATTAAAATGAATTGCAAAAGATATAAACATCTGAATGAAATGAAACTGTTTTCAGTATTACAAAATGCAAACGCAATTGAATATAATAATAAATGCAATGCTGGAAGGAACAATTATATTTTACACTTTCCAATTGAACATAGAAATGTCGGAATTCATAGTTTAATTGTTTTAAGATTTAATAATTCTACATTTTGATTAATAATACAAATACAGTAAACCCTCGCTTTACGCGGCAAGTGCGTACCGTGCAGTATGGGAACCGTGCTATAAGAAACTCGTATTTAACATACAATTCAGGCTAATTGGTAGTGCGTTCTATGGAACCTTACATAGTGCAGTATGGGATCCGTGCTATGAGAGACTCACAGTTGGTACAAATCGCACCATTTTTATCGCGCTGTATGGAGACCAAGAAATACCACTTGAAGTAGGAGTAATACGGACGAAATGACATGTAAGGCATTGACACGATTGACACCTTATTCAAAAATTGGCGCGACGCAGTAGTCAGCTCAAACGTGTTCTTAGGCGGCTATTATATAAACAGGCATGTCTAAAAGATAAAAGTCAATAACAAAATTTACATCAATACCCTTTTGCACAACGAACTTATGGGCTGTTGACCAAATACCGTGTAATAAGAAGTCCGTGTAGTCGGAGGGATGTCGGATTTTTAGCTCCGTGTAGTATGGGAACCGTGTATCCAGAGTGCCGTGTAAAGCGAGGGCCTACTGTACTAAGTATTTTTATGAATTTTTAATACCAATTCCCCCAAAACTAGACCATAATAGGTTCTGCTGGACTATCTATAGTCAATATTGACTTCATAAAAAATGATAACAGAATATATGCCATGGAAACCTTTAAAAGTTCATATAAAAATTCATTATCTTCCTTCATATTTCTCTATCAAATTAACATTATAACAAAGTATAATTCTCATATATTTCCATTGTACATCATTGAAACGTGTATGTGGTTTTGAAACTTGTTTTGCTGTGGTAAATATACGGAAGGCATCAAATTAAGTTCAACAATCCGTTAACACTAGAAAAAAAACTCTAGAAATATTATTATAGGCGTTAACTTATAAATTTGCCATCGGTTTTAATAAAATATTATTTTTGAATGCAAAAGAACATATCATGATAAAGTACAAAAGCACAGTTACTTTAAACTGAAGTGTGCTCATGAATAATAATAAACAGATTGAAAAATTATTGAGGAATTACACGTCAATTATTAGCATTTAATTGGTACTAAAAATCATAAAGCGTTACACGAATATTAATGAAATGGGTAATTATTTGATATATGATTTGATTCACTTTAGAAATATATAGACTTTTGGTTTATGAATTATTACTTGCTGAAGCAATAATTAGAATAATACCATTAAAACATCCTTTTTATTCGAAATCAGACAAATTTTTCATACCATAGATAAGGAAACATACTAAACAAATCTATGTTAAGAGAAACGCAAGATTTAATTCCTTGTGCAAAACTTAGATTATAATTTTATTTCATCCAACTCAAGTACCTACTGGTTTTATTTTAGTTTACACATATTAAAGGCGGGGTTTCAGTAAATCATATTCAACATCCAAATTGCATATTTTAATTAATAAAGCACACAGACTTATGTATGAGACTTATTGTATTCGTGAATATCCTTTTTATTTTGAATTCAGACAATATTTCTCATAATAGACGACCGAAATCTAATACAATCTAAAGTATATGTTGAGAGAAACGTGAATTGTGGAAAGATAATAATCTTTTATTGTAAAATTAGATTAGAAATATTTTTTCAACAGCCTAGGTCCTGTTCAAGCACAGCCTTAGTCATAAATACTAAAGGCAGAGTTTCAATCAAATATACAAAAAATCAGAAAAAAATCATATTCAGGACGAGACAAACCTAGGAAAATCTAACACACAGGAGAAGAAGAAAAGCTGGAATTTTGGAAGAGTTTATAATTTTTTCCAAAAATCAGATTATAAAACTTTTTTGTGATCTATGTCCAATTTTGCCAAGGTAGAGTCAATGCATCATATTTGTAATCTATATCACAAGTACCAGACTTCACTTCAACTGCAAAATTAAATACCCCGATCAAAAATAGATGAACTTCTGCAGGAGTATGAAAATCCACATATGCACGAAGTCATAATATTCGTCTGGCTTACCCATATCTACATACATCGCCCAAGTATATAACTCTACCTGACTTTCTATGACCTTGTTGGTCAATGTCCTATGCAAGAAATTAATAATTCTATTTCAAAAATTACTTGTAATGAAATATTCTGCAAAAATCATCAACAATTAGATCTCGGTCACCTTAGATAATAATCGAAAATACGAACAATTCGCAATTAGAACGGAGTAAGAAGTAAGAAGGGTTCATGCTCGAAAGAGTAACCATCAGCAAATTATAATAATCACCTTCTATGAAATCTTTAGAATTAATATTTAGTTAAAAAGTAATTTACTCATATTCAGCGCAACACTTTATTTCAAAATTGTTTTAGTTTTATATATAATTATATTTAGGTATTTTGATGTAGAAAGTAAACAAAAAAGCTCTGTCAGGATTGTTGTTTTATAGAATACAAGAAAGTCCAAAGACATTAACAATAATCAATTCTATTTATTTATTCATCCTAATCATTTTGAACAAGAGTTGTTAAATCTTGAATTAAATGATCTGAATGAATTGATTAATATTAATTGCTTTTAATATTTTTGAGATTTTCTTGAACTTTACCTTAAGAAAGAATCCTGACAAAGCTTTTCCATTTGCTGTGACCAGAAAAACAAATGGTAACATTTTTGTAATTAATTCTTACCATTTTAATAAACATTCTGATCTTTTGTACAGCTTTCTTCTTTAAATTATTCGAATAAATTCTATAAAATATAAACCTGCTACATTTCATACAGAAATGTTTTATAATACTCGTATACAAAAATCAAAACTATATATATACACAATATATATATATATATATATATATACATATATAATGGTTGTGGTAAAAATTAGGAATTATAGAGATTATTACCTCTTGAGTCAATTCATCCGAAGGCTCCTCTTTGATGTCTTTGGCTTTCACTATAGTTTCAGCAGCTTTGTGACTAGTATTAGGCATAGTTTTATAAAACTCACTTGACATACTTGAACAATTAGAAGAAAAACTCGTGCTTGCACGTTCTCGTTTAATAATCGTTTTTTCCATTTCTAGTACCTCGGATATTTCTATCGGAGCACTTGCCATATCAAGACCATAATTGTCTTTCTGATTAAAATATTGCATTGAGGTTACATCATTGAAATCATTCAATTCAAGATCTAACAACTCTTGGTCGAAAAGATTAAAATGCATAAATAAGTCTTCTTGAGAATGAGGTAGTTCAAATTCATTATGATCTTCTGTTGACACAGCTGAAGCTTGACCACTCTCGGCTTCATTTATATTTTCATGGTTTACATTCTCTGCAGACAAATCAACACCGCCTCTGTTGCCATCGGCTTGAACATTTAACAAATAAGTCTGAACATCAAATCCTCCTAGCCTTTGGTATCTTCCAAGAGAATTCAAGTCTTCGAATAAATGTCTTTCATAACTAAGAAGCATTGTATCTAGATTCTTCGGATGAATTTGCCTGGGTCGTATCAATGTTTGCACCTGTTCGAATGCCCAGCCATCGTGGTTAGCTGGTAATCCATGGGACCCTACACGGGTCTCCAAACCTAAATAACTATCGGGATCAACCCTTAAAAGACTTAAAACTAAAGCAAGCTGCAAGAGCTCGTCTCCATACACTTTCTTCAAGCTCAACATGGTAACGGTGTCTTAAATGTAAAAGATGTATTAATATATCACAGGCTTGTATTAAATCCAGTCAAATAAATGTTCACAGCACATTATTGTCAGTTACAAACACATATTTTTATATAAAGTCCCTGGTAAACAAAATGAATTGCACAATAGTGTTCTAATATATTTCATATAAGTTTTATTCATGTTGAATACAACAAGAAAAACAGTTTGAAATATTAGACATTTTATTTAACATGTCTATGTGTTTAATAATTTATATAATAATCGAAGTTTTGAATATTTACGGATTTGAAAATGCACTCTTCAAATGTTGGCAGAACGATGACGAATCACATCTGTCAAACAAAACACCGATTATTATCTCGAACGATAAATGTAACCTCAACCAAACGAAAGTTCTATATTTAAATTATGAATTAACAACGGCACTTGAGAACATTTCATTTAGGAAACTTCACAGTTTTACTTCTTAATATCCTATAAACGAAACTTTTGTTAAAAATCACGATGTAATATCACAACACAAGTCAAAAATACGAAGCGAATATCTATTATCCTTCCTCGAGCAGAACGCAAGCACGAATGACTAACTTCGTTGAGTTTATGCCAGTCTGACAACTGCGCCGCCGTATAAATACGTATGTACCTTCAATGTATAGCCAGGCGCGAAAATAATACGGATAGAAATAGTATTGGCATTGCACGCCAAATACATATGAGTGCAGATAATTCGATACAAATCAAGTGTAATGTGTGTAATTGTAAAAAGACAGATTTGAATTGCTATACTAACGTGTATACAAAGGATAATGGATACAAAGGATAAGGATATGCCCGGAGGCAGAACTGTCAGGTAACGGAATCTTGGATTTGATTCTCTGCAATATCTAAGCTGATAGTAACTAGATTATGCATTTTAGGTCCAGCAAAAGGAGGCAGATAGAAACAGGATGTTCCTACATTATCTAAAAACATAGCCTATTGCATTTGAAATAGAAAGCTCCTTCATTACACCACCGAATTCTACATGTAAATGTCAATGATTTTAATTCGCATAGATACGAAGTAAGTACGAAAATTAAATTGAATATATTTATAAATTACTGATATTTACTATATTTATAATGTCCCGAGCAAAAAATGCTTTGGGGCGCATTTCGATTTTGGTCTTATCCGTCAACTTGCTGAAGAAATCATAGCTCCGAAGTTAATTCCGAACCAGCGCAATTTTCACCATACCAACTTAAAAGAAAAAATATTTACGCGTCTGGGGATGAAATTCCTTATGGTTTTAGCATTAACCATTAAAAACCCAATAATAGTTATAAATTATAATTATAACCAATTATAATTATAAATTATAGTTTTAATAAATAGACTGCACACTATCTGGATATTCACCACCAAGCTGTGGTGTGTGGTACTTGGTACTACTTCTTGAAATGACCTGCAGAATCAGAATCGCGGGGTCCAAAATTTTGACCCACCCTTATATATATATGTAATGGATGCAATTATATATATAAAAATATTTTTACTATATAAAGTTTAATATTTAAAGGTTTTAATATATTAAATTTTAATATATAAAGGTTTTATATAAAGTATTCACCAAATTTAAATAAACATTGCATGAACTTAATTACCATTGAATGAAGAAATCGGAACTTAAAATATTCATAAAGGCCTACGGTCATACATATTTTATTTGTACGTCATGAACAAGCCGAAATACAGAAGTCAAAGTGCATTTTGTTATTCATAAGTACAACTACTCTTCTTTTTTTACTCTTTAATTTCCATAAAGATAATTTGGACATTTAAAATTCATTGTTGTTTCTATTGAGCATATGCTAATGATAAAAAGTATCATAGTATTTATTTTGAAGAATTATTTCTAATCAAAATTTAACTATGCAAGTGCATTCGATTGTAGAGTCAAATGCAGCCTGTTAACTGTGGGACCACCCCATAAACCCATGGAGCTTTTTGGACAAAATTTGGACGATTTCTTACACTCTCTTAGTGTTTGTGCAAGCTTTGGTTAAATTTAGATCTTTTTCTACATGAGGGTTTTCCAAAATTTGGATACTTTTTCATATTCTCCTTATTGTTAGTATGGAAGAGCTTAGGTTAAATTTTAAACACCTTTCGTCAAGAAATCTAAGCCAACAGAATTAAACAGTTTTCAAGAAATCTAAGCCAATAGAATTATCAGTAATGTGTATATTATGGCAATAAAACCTGATGCATAAATTTCTCTTAAAACCATCTCAGGGTCTTCACAGAGTAAAATGATAAAATTGTTACTATTGATTTTATTTATGTTATTGATATTAGAAGAGCATTAATGATATATTACAAAAATAAACATACCATGCATGAAAATTTACGTCTTCGCTTGGCTGACTTCCAAACTTCGAGTGTTTAACAAGGGAAAGTTAATATACATGCAAATAGACTACAAAGACCTCATAAATACTAGCAATGAATTAGAAAAAATATTATTAAAAGTATTTAATATATATTATTAATTCGAATATGAATCCACACATGTTAACCTTTTTGAGGAGCAATAATGGGTGGATAAAGGTGCACAGTTGGATGTAAAAGAAAGCGAAGGCAAGATCTTAATTATTATTGTGGTATTTGCTATACTAAATATTGAAATTTAAGAAGACAATTAAATTAACTTACCGATAAAACTTTGCGGCAGCCAGAAAATGACTTGTCGAGGGGCGTTTGAGATAAATCCGGAGATAAACTCTCCATTCTAGGCAAATCTTCAATTTCCATTATTTAGGCCTGTAACTGCTCTAAAAAAAACTAAAGGTTAATAAAAATTTTATCAACTTGCTTTATAAGGATTTTATCTATGTAAACTAAAAAATGTTATTTTCAATACAGATATTTTGGTATTGAAAAAAACAATAAATCAAGAATAAAAATGAACTTTTTCTGGGTTTTCAAATAAATTCGTATATATAAAATATCATTTATCTGAACAAATAATATTCTAAAATTATCCAGTTATATATATATAAATATATTTTAAAATTATAATAGCATCTTTTAAAAAGTTTGTTTAGTGATATGGCTGAATAGGATATTTTTTCATATTAGACTTGCGCAAATAACTCTTGTTTTTTCCATTTTTACCATTCATTTTCTCTATTTTCTATTTTAACTTATTCTGCACTTATATAAAAAACTTCTAACAAATTATTGCTGATTGAATATATATAACTAAACTTTTCGTAGGAAACCTAAATGATGTTACTTTTACGAAATACATTACTTCAACGAATTTCTTTCTATTATTAAATTTTAATCAAATGACATTCGTTTTTTAAATTTTAATTTGATTTAAGAAATTTATCTTATTTTTGTGTATATCATGCATATTGTGTATCTCTAAAAAATCATATTAACTTAGGAATCTTGTTCTGCACTTGTATAAAAAATCTAAACAGAGATGATTAAATAATTATATTCAAAGCAAGCAAAACCTGTATATGTATATCATAAAAATTCTGAATGGAGAATTTCCAGTTTTCCTGAATAAATTAGCAAGATATTGTTAAGCTAACAATCACCAAAGTCGTACTACTATTTTTATACAATTCTGGTCGTATTGGGTTAAACATCATAAGTTAACATAATTTGTTATCTTAATAAATACTTTATCTGTTAGACATAACAGATAACTTTTCTTTATTTAGAAAACTCATAGTCAGTCTATTATCAGATTAAATACATGAAAAGAGATGCGGGTTCGTACAAGAAAATTACGCTTAATCACATGTTTGTTAAAATATTACATGTAACATTTGTAATATGATGTAATATAGCGCAAAGTTTTGTAATTTATTTAGTAATATAATTTAGTGAGCGTATAGGTATACTTAAGTAATTTTTGAATATTATGCCACTTGCTGTTATATCAAATACATTAAAAGTATTCAGAATTATTTTTGTAAAATAATTAATAGTAGAAAAGTTTTCTATCCATGAAATAATATTTAACCAGGTCTAAGTGGCACTTTGCCTTAAGGCAAGTTTATAAATAAATCACTTCTGTAAGTTTATAACAGTATAGAGTGTTCGCAAAGATCATGAAATATATCATCATGTAAAGTTTCATTAAAACCTTAAAAAAAATAGAAAAAAAAACGAAGAAACGGTTCGACCGTCCTTTGCTAAAAACTAATCAGTAGTTCAGGATTTTTTGGAAAAACCTTGACAAAAAATTTTGCATTAAATTAATTATAAAAATACGGTTCGACCGATTTACACGTCTGGAAAGTAATCAACGCAAGTTTTTATCGAGTTTTATCAAATGCTTTTCAAATTTTTGAAAATGATCCAACCGTTTTTGAGTAAACGACGGAAACCACAATAGATTCAGAATAACTTCAACCTTAAAAAAACATAAAATTAGCAAATCGAATTTTATACCAAAAATCTAAACACTTCTTTCAGGAAAATTTAAAAAAAATTGTTCGATTTTTGGTTACTGGAAAGAGTGTATCCACTTTCCATGTTAAGAACCTCATACCAAAATTTTTGTTTAGCACAATAGTTTGAAATCATATTGGTAATGGATTAAGAATACTTTCTGAAGATTTTTATAATGCAATATTTATGAAGAATTTATTTGAATGAGCAATATGTACGTTTAATGATGCATTAATTGCCATTTGAACTTTGTACAATATATGATTGAAAATGTATCTGAAATATATAGTCGCTTGATTTTAAATCAAATAAATTACAATTAAAATTTATATTTATACATATTTTCATCACCAAATTACATATCACTTAAACACATGACTAACAACTAATAACTTCAACTTATATATAAAATTAGATAAGAAAAATTTTTACAAATAAATGTTATGAATGAATAATATATAAATATTTTTTTTATTTTAAATAATATAAATAATGAGAAATAAATTTAATATATAGTAATTAATCTTACCAATTGGTTCGATACTCCGCTGTTAATTGTTATAAACAACGCGCACAATGTGCACATGAACTTCACAACAAAATACACAATATTGCACTACTTGATTTTTAATATATATTAAATAATAAAATAAACCATATATTCATAAACCGTTTGATGCAAGTTTTGTATTTTAATAATTTTTAAATATTTTATACTAAATTAATATAATTTGACTATAAATTATTCACACTTGTCCACAAGTAAAATTGTTGCTTGCTTTAGACTGACGTCACCGACATTATCAGGCAGAACGTTTAATACTTGTACGTACGTTAGAGTTGTTATGTTATTTAACAAATCGGTATTTGTGAATGTGTTGAAATCATTTTTTATCGTTGAGAAGAAATGCCCAAAGATACATCTCTTCAAAATAAGTTTATGTAACAAACTAGATACGACTACAAATCTAAACGATTTTTCCTAAATTTTTATAGAATTAAGTTTAATCCACAATATATTTGTCCTAAATCAATATTTTTTATATTCGAATAGAATATGAGGTCTTCAAAATATTCTCGACCAAACAAAAATTTATAATGAATGATTTAATTTATTTTCATAACTTGATTTTTCAAATATTTGCAGGACATCCTACGTTTTTCTTTAAAACCTTCCCTCAATTATTACCAAAAAATTAATATTTTTCTGAATGAAATTTTATAAAAAAGGTTTGTAATTTATTCGTTACTAGTTTTTTCATATTGAAGGTTATCTGGTCTGACCCTGGTTGATATTCGATATGTATGATTAATTGACAAACACATTTTAGATGTATGAGAGTGAACTGTACAAATATTAACATCTAATAGGAATCTGCACACATCATACGAATTATATTTATTTTTATATATTTTTTTACGAAATACAATTGATATTTAGACTATATACTAGTTATAATTAATAAAAACTTTAAACGAGTTAAATTAGGAACATATAATAAATATTAAATAACAGTAACTAGTAGTAACGTAAATATTATCTATTTAAAATATTGTTTAAATTATATATCTTAAAATATAAAAATACTAATTGCAGATGATGTATAACTATGCATGGTATTACACATAAATTCCTAGAATTAACAGCAGATGTTCTAAAACTAACAGGAAATGTTTTTGCAAAAATGAGTATAATCGCTCTAACCACGCTGTTGAAGTAAATATAAATCTTAAATAATTTTTATTCTAATCAAATAAAATACCGATAAATTAAAATTTACTAAGATTAATTATGAATTACTTAATTGATTCAATCCCACTTTGAAAATCCGCCAATGTGCTTAAAATTTTCAGGAGATCCTATATTTTCCTTCGCGAGCTTACCTATTTTTCTGGGTAAAGTAGGAGCAACTTTGTCCTCGGGTTTTGGAAAGTAGTTTTCATAATTTGTTCTCAAAGCTGCAGTCACAGTTGGTCCTACAAATTGGTTAAATTTGTATAATTGATTAGTACTAGAATTAATAATAAAAAACTTAGGAGATAATTGCTACTAAGAGGATAAAAGAACTTTTCACAACATGATGATAAGAATCTTTGTGTTATATATTGGTTGTTATGCACTTTGCCTAGATAATTAGTAACATTTTGTATTTTTTAAAGAGAAACAAGCATTATTGAACTGTAATTAATAATTATAGAATAACATATTCCGATTTAAAAATCGCAATGCAACCTAATTGTCTTGAATCAAAAGATAAAATGTTGGCCTACACACATATTTTTTACAAATTTCGATGTAAAAATATTCGGAATGAGTGAGAACATGAAATTTACAAATAAGCTTATCTACTAAAACATAAACTTCTCCTCCAGAAAGTCAAAGATGTCCAGATTTAGGTACTTACGAACAGGTGTAACAAGATCAGGCCGCGAATCACTTCTTTTGAGCTTGGGTGGAATAGGCGGAGCCTGCGTGCGATTTAGTGGCAAGGTATCTGATTTTCCAGAACTATCTTTAATCTTTTGCATAAATTTAGCTTTTGTTTCCATCACCCTTGGCATAGAACTATAATCGTGTGCAATATCAGCATAGTCCAAATTTTCACTGTCATCTTTTGTATCATTTGATTTATTAGGTAATTTTCTGTCACCCACTTTGAAATGAGATATAGTAGAGTAAGTGACGGAATCAGATTTTGGGGATGAATTGAAAATAACATGCTTTTGAGTATCATATCTTATATTTTGTTGTGAAGCATCCTTGCGCTCTTCCCTGTTTATTCCATTTTGAGAAGTATGTGAATTGGATTCATGATTCATCTTAATATGACTAGATTTGGTCTCATGAACAGTTTCAGTTTTTAATTTTGGATAAAAATTATTGTTTAAGTTCATTTTGACTGCTGCATTATCATTTCTCTTCAATGAATTGTTCCTTCTAAGTGAACTCCTAAGATTTAATTGATCGCTCGTAACCAACTCTGATAATATTTCATCGATTCTATTAATATCTTCATTGCTAAAATGAGAAAAATTAAATAATAAAATTATTATATATAAATAAATAATAGTATTTAAATATCAAGAAAATACTACCAATATTATACGAAGTGTAAATAAAGAAAATTTTTACCTATTTGTGTCACCAGCTCTCTCGGGACGGTGATGCTTATCAGCATTTAATTTCTTTTTGCTATTATTTTGCATTAAATCAAAAATATATGCTCTTGTTTTTGTATCTATAATATCACATTCTTTGATGCCCTTCTGAAAAGTTAACTTAGATTTTATAAAAATTACACAAAATAGCTGATTATTTAAATTACCTGTTCAAAAAATAAATAAATGTCTTCATTCCTCTTTGCGTACGCCAAATCTGAAAAACAAAGCCCAATGATTCCTTAAAATAATATGAAATTTTATTTCCCAGTAACTATACCTTTTTTAGCCCTTTGCGTTTTCCTATTAGCTTTATCAATAGCTTTCTTCATGATCTCCTTCTCTACATTATCAGTATAATTCACACATACCATTCGTTCCTGTTAAAATATTTCACATAAATAAAGTAATTTAACGACAACAATAATAACCAGTACAAAAAATATTGAAAGTTTTGAAATTCTTAAAGAATAATTGTAAACGTACATGAATGTTTTACATAATTGGATTTCTTGCCAAGAAAATATGACACATCGCGCGATTAGAAAGATTTTGTGATAACTTGGGGCTTGAGGAATTTATGAAAATAATATTATGGTTGAAATAATAATTAGAAAACCTAATTTGCTGAAATAATAACATTCGTGATGATAAAAATTTGCGTTGTATATTGATATCAAAAACATTACGTCCAAAACAAGTTCATTAGGTTTTAACAATTGAAAATAATTAAACATTAGGGTCATTTTAAATGACTCATTCAATACATTATTTGTCATAGATTATTTTGATTTATCCTGTTATTATAATGAATCGATTGATAAACAATTATTACAGATTGAGTCATTTAGAAATATTAATAAATGTTTTCAAAGAGTCTTTCCTGGGCGATATGATTTATTTAATAATTGGTTTTCTAAAAATTCATCTAACTTTTTAAATCCTAATTTGATTCGTTTTCGTTGCGAAATATTCTGAGGAAGTTATCTAGAACTATTATTTAGATTTTTATATTATATATAATATTAATATTTTTTATTAGACATAGTTTCATTACTATTTGATTACTTTAATCAAATTTAATAAATATTTAATATTCAATTAGCGGTTCCAAAAATTAGGCAAATAATAAATATATTTTATTTTGATATAGATCCCAAAAATTACGTTGTTTCATTGACGTTCTGAAGAAAAATTTTATAAGAATATAGTATTCAATTAACGATTGTTCTAATAATTAAGCAAATATTTTATCAAATTTTATTTCGATTTCTGTAGTATAAATTTTAATGATTATTTTGAGTTCGAGATGTCAAAAAAATATTTTGAATAAGACAGTTTAACAGTTTTTTCAAGTAATTAAGCAACTATTGAATCAATTTTCATTTAGATTTGTTTACTATGAATTCCAAAAATTACTTTGGTTTCATAGAAATCCAATTTAATAAGTATTTCAATTACCCATGTTTCTATTTCTTTACCTTTGTTTCATAGATGTCCAGAAAATCTTCTGGGCTGTTAACAAAAGCCAATTCCTCCAGCGGGAATGAGCACAGACAAACACCTCTATTTGTGCAAAACATTTCTAAATGATAGCTCTTAACTCTTCCAAAATCTTCCACCAGAGATATCAAACCAGCATACATTTTTATTGCTGGATCATCTGTTTTTTCCTTGTTCTTCCACGTCCAAACTTGGCCATAGGCAGATGATAAACACTATTTGAAATATTAATATATTTACAAATCTATATAATATGATTTATTCATTTATTTTTTTATATCATTTCCAAATTGTTGGTTTATTTTGGAAACTTTCTAAAATGTCTTTTTTTTATTTAAATAATTACCAAAATGTTCTCTCGAATACTAATCGAAAATACTAAAAACATGCTAATATATAAAAGAAAATTTTTAAACTTAGCTAGTACTTAAGTTAATTAATGCATTCTGTTTTTATCCTATCCCTAATCTCAAATCTATAATATATATCCACTTCTTATGTCCTCCCAGGATTTTCTAGAAAGATCAAATTTTCAAAGACATAATATATCCATGGATTTTTTAAACAAAGTTTTGGCCGTATATTTTCATCAAATATACAAAGATGGATGAAGATGAATCCATGGATTTTTTTAACAAAGTTTTGGTCGTTTTATATTATTCAAATTTTCAAAGACATATTTTCTGAACTTTTTCCAATTTTATTGTCAAAATATTCAGAATGACTTGGAATGTCGAGAAAACATAAAATTAGCAAATTGCATTTTCTTTCTGAAAAACGAACTTCCTGCGTGAAGTTAAAAATTTTGTTTTGGTAATGATCATGTGCTAGGGTCCTAGAACTAAAAATAAGGTGACCATGGACTTTTTTGCATGGACTACTTGAATGTGTGTGAGAGCGATGGGGGGGGGAGGTGTTGTTGGTGATCTAAAAACTTATATGCACATTTTTTTGGTTCAAATTTTCTAGTTGAAATATATTTAAAAAATATATCGGTAATCAAACTATTTTTAAAAATCCGGGACAATTCGGGACAAATATTGCTTGTAGAAAAACCGGGACGCAACGCGGAAAATCGGGACTGTCCCGGACGATCCAGGACGTATGGTCACCTTACTAAAAACATTATTATATAAAAATGTTTTTAAATGATTCATATCCTTAATGAAAATTTTATGCGCGAATTAGCTTAATTAACATTACAAGTCTATCAATCAACTAATCAAAAACTTGAGATGCTTTTTATTATAACCTAGCACAAATTCTAGAAAAACATTATACATCAATAGATTCTGCACATCCAGCACAAAGACTTCAGTTATAAAATTTGTATGTACCATTCAACTTACGCGTTTATGAGATCCCAAATATTTTCTGAAAAACTCCTTCTTGTCGTTCTCCATCTTAAACACCATATCACCATTGCTCATTTTGCAAGTTCAAATGTTCACAACTAAACACAAAATTTCTGTCATAGACTAATCACACTTCTTATCTCAATTGTTAAAACATCGCGGCATTTATCTTATCGAATGAACTCATCATCCTCGCACACACTGATACTATATGCTGAATAATTTGATAAGAAATTTGAAAATAATCGGAATAAAAGACGAAGGCGACTTGATGTTCTTCGTCCGGGATCAAATGGAGAAATGAGCGATCATAGGCCGAGAAAAACACTTCAGCTGGTAAACTTTGCGATGAATGTGTTAGTCGGATGGGGAACATAGGTACGCAATACTTAGGCAATACTTAGGTGAGCAATTGGGTAAATATATGCACATGGTACAACTGAACACAGGTAATATAATCGATTTTGAAAACAACGTTCATTGTTTTTAAATCCCAATATTCCAAAATACTTTTTTAAATCCCAATATTCGCAAACAAAAGGAAAAAGAAATGAATATGTGCATTTATGTATTTTTTATATAGCAAAAGAAATATTTCACATGTGCCAGGCAGTATCCTCGTTTCTGGTAAGCATGTATCTCACTCCAAGTGCATTTCCCCTTCTCGAAAAAAGGAATGCTAATGACGAGCAAACTGAGTCTCGACTTGTTTCGAGAAGCTAATAAATATAAAGCGTTATGTTTGGAGCATAGCTTTATACAGATCAGAACCATGAGCCTATGTGGAAAGCCGAAACGGCCGGAAAGCCGTTTATTAGCCACTTATGCCTGATTTTAGTTTGCTGATCATACATTATGATTGGTAACTACATCAAATCAAAACACTATTGGTGCATATTATGGAATAGTTACGAGTACTTAGCAGAAATTCCCATCCTAGACCATTTGAATTTTCGCTAACTGATAACTAAATCAGATTATATCAATATCACCAAAGTACGCAAAGGGTCATATAGACATCAACCACCTTCATAGATCTTATTTATTTATTTATATGCTCATGAAAATAAATGAATAAATTCATCTAAATAAATGTATCGCATAAAGGTGGTCGATGTGGGTATGTCCCATAGATAAACAAGTATAAATAAGTATGACCCTTAGAAGAGCTGGAGACGAACGGAAAAGATAAAGTGGATATAAAAGATAACGAAGAGAAAAAAATAGTAGAAGAAGGGAAAAATCTACTGAACACAGTCAGAAAAAGCGAAGTAAACTGAGTTGGACCCTTAATTTCTGCTGCATTATGTAGTCGAAAGTAAAATAGAAGAACTGAAAGGACTTGGAAGAAAAAAAATGAAGTTGATTGATTGATGACTTACACGCGAGAGAAAATACAGGCAATTAAAAACACAACACAGAACCAGGAAGCATAGCAGCAGAAGTTTAAAAATGTCAAATAAAATTATAATAATAAAGGAGGGCAAGGACATCGGTCTAACTATGATTAGATTTATTATTACCTGCGATTTTGGGAGGACATCTCCTGTTAATATGCTGTTGACGGTGCAAGCAACCTCTGACATCAATATCTTTCTAATCCTGAACCTGATGTACTACTACTCTTACTCAACACCGTCTTTATACCATGGCGTTGCCCACTAAAACGCGGGCAAAAGAAGAAAAGGCTATCCGCATCTAATAAAATATAAAATTCTATGTTTTCCTTCATTTTATAGATTTTTACTTTATCCATTATTATAAATATTACGAAAACCTAGATATTGGTTAATAATTTATTTATTCAAATTTAATATTTCATGACATAATTGAATTAATTAAAAATTTCATAGGACTAAAAATATTTCCAGAAATAAATAAAGTCCAAACAGTAATTATTTATAAAAAAATAACTTTACAATGTGTATATACACATAATTTACATGTGATATTAATTATCAATATATGTATCTAAAATACGAATCTAAATTTTTACACTTAATATAATATAAATCTTTTTACATCTATACAAATTATTAAAAATATAAAATATTGGATCTTCCTAAGTTTATTTACATATTAATTGCAAGAGCAATTCGTTGCAAATAATTTGAAAGGCAATTCTATTCTAAATATAGAACGGAAACATGTAAAAGTTAAAAATTAAATGAATACACTATAGTATACGGTAAGAATTTTTAAAATTTTACAATCAAAATATTGAAGTTAATTTTCATGAATGCACACGCAATTTAATTTTTTTTATTTCAATTAGCACGTGCATATGCTGAGCATTCGTATATTATAATACAGAATAGTTTAAACTTATGTCTATGATAAATTCTCTAAGCCCAAAAAATCTGTTTCTCTAAAACTATGTAATACTTATTAGTAGAATAATTGTTAAGTTATTAACTAATTAGATTTTGGCAACGTCGTTACAATCTTTAATATTATTCTGTCGTTTTGCCTACTATAATTGTCTTTTAAATTTCACCATCCTAAATAAGTAGATTTTATATTATTGTTTATATTCATCTTCAATTCACATCCGCGTTACAAATTTCATATTACTTTTTTAAAAATCTATATCTAATGTTTCGTAATTCGAGATTTACAATAAAAACTGAATGATAAGCAAAAATTAAACGATTTTTACTTCTAAACAAAATCTATAAAGTGATTAAAATTTCTAGAGTCCAATCACTCTTTAGATTCAACCAAAGGAAAGTAGATAAAACCGTTCTGGTCACAACATTAACTTTGAACAAGAACCACTTGCTGGTTTATGAATATAAAAATACATCGCCTATACACAGGTGAAAAAACGCTTTCTTTATTTATTCACTTTGTTTTACGTTGCAAATCGTTCAATTGCCTAAACGAACTGGACTTGAAGCTTGATTTAAAACACTTTCATCTTTAATATTGCTTTACAATAATACATATCACAAAACTATACTATTACAGTCTATAATACATGACTATCAATTGCAATTTAGGAAAAATACTACTTTATTCTAAGCTCAAATCCCTTCTAAATATAATATTTTTACAGATATCCTAAAACGACTGAAAATACAAACTGTTAAAGTCGCGATATTAGTGTAATTATTACTGTTCGAAATTAGTCAAATTCATGGGCAGTTATAACATTCATTTAATCACTCATTATAACATTCATTTAATCAATTAAAGTGATATGTAATTAGTAATACTTCTTTTGGAATCAATTATTGATAATATGGCAAAAAGCTGAATTGATAATACTACATTTTAGAGGCAATCGGGTATTTTAATCATGGAAAAAAATCTCAGCTCCGACCGTACCCAAATATATAAAAAAATAAAATTTAATTCTAAATATAATAGAAATATATGACATCCGCAATATTCATTCTACTAGAAATACATGAAAGCACATTTCAAATAATCGAGGAGACTAGTTTAAATAATTAAATAGTTATTCACACACTTTCATCATAACGAAACATCGATGTTAGTAGCTTAACGCCGGGATCATTGATTTTTTTTACCAAAATAGATATAATTTTATATTTAAGCACTTGTTAGTAAATTGATGATTTTACTAATATATTAATGAATTAAATAATAATTATTTAATTGATAATTTCTAAATAGATTTAATTGAGTTCATTTTGATTTATGTTAGAATCTAATATCTTAACTCATGAAGCTTCTTGGATATAAAAATTATTAAGTTTTTTCATAGTATGATTGTAATAAAACCAAGTCAAAAAAATAAAATCAAATTGTTTAATATATTTATACAATAAATTTCATAATTTGACGAAAGAACAAAAATAATTGAATATGTCATAAAATTATGATAAAAATCTCATTTTATCTTGTTAGGATATTCCTAATTACTTGGTTTTATTAAAATATATCAATAACACATATTAAGTATAATCAAACACATTTAAGTCATTTGATTAAACTACCCACAGACTCACATAATACTTCGATAACTTTAGATCCAATCATCTTCATCACTTATGGTATCGTTATCTGAACTATCAGTGTCGGGATTGATTGCAATCTGTCTGGCCATTAAAGCTTTAGCTAAAGCACCAGCCAGCCCATCCATTGGACGTTCTTCTGTTTTCTGATTTGCATTTACGGGGACCTAATAAAAATGCACATATTGTAAATCGTGAAGGCATAGTTAATATTATATTATTATTATGTTATTATTTGATACGTTACCGATTTTAATTCAATGCCTCCTCTTATTTCACTCAATAAATTCGATCTGCTGTCTGATATGGGAGCTTTAGGTTCAACCTGTACTTTCTACAAACAGAATAGTATAATAAAATAACACAGTTATTTTGAATGTTAATTTTAAACTATTTATAATAGTAGATAGTATTCATCTTACCCTAAGTGTAGGAGCGTTTCTGATACTATCCAAGAGCGCAGCTCTTGGATCAGGCACGGCCGGCGCGCTGTTTTTATTTGAATTCAGATTGCTTAAATTTGAAGCCAAATATGAATTGTTATTTTCATTCCCTCCTGATGGTGATTTAGGTGTTGGCATATTATTCAGTAAACCATCAATAGGTGGAGGAGGTGGAGGTGGTGCTGCTGACGGCTGCATGAGTTAAAGAATGAGAAAGGAAAAAAGATTCAAAAGCAATTAATTTAGCAACTAACCTGCACCACGGGTAAAGGTGGTGGTGGTGGAGCAGCTGTAGCACTTGGAGGTGGTGGTCTAGCTGCGGGAGGCCGTGCTGGAGGAGCTGCAGGCGGCGTAGGAGGTGCACCAGATGCTGATGCTGTTACACGCGAAGGGGGTGGTGGTGGCGTACGTCTATTAACCTGGAACAAAACATTATAGCAAATTTTATCATTATTTTAATTAATAGTCCTTTAAGATTAAGATTATTTATTCTTGTTAAACATAAGGTAATCTATATATTCTTCACAAAATCATTCCACTAACTAGAGGTTTAATTTCAAACTATAAATTCTTGACCCGTCAACTCCCCACTTTATCATTAAATTTATCTTAACATTTATTTCAATTGAATGAATTTCAACTTACTGGAGTCGTTCTCGACGGAATAGGTGGAGGTCTTAACGTCTGCTGTTGTTCTCTCTGTTGTGGTGGTTTAGTTTCAACTTCTTGTTTTACTGCATCCATACCACCATGATCACTAATAAAATCATATATAAAGGTACGCGTTTTCTCATCTCGCAGTTCAGTATCTGATATTCCCACCTGTAATTAGAAGAAATCATGTTGCAAATAAATTCCCAGTCCAGATTGTGAATATTTTTCTATTTGTCATATTATAATAGGAATAAATTTACAGTATTTAGTATAAAAAATATAATTTTACCTTATGGAAAAATTCTTTCAAAGTTTCATCTACTTTATCTTGAGAGTCGGGACCCACATGGAAAACATGACGGAAGTTTTCAGGTTGACCTATATCTTCTTTCCTAAATTTACCTCTAGGAAGCTTGTTCTTATTTTTTAAACTGGATTCCGATAATTGCATGACTATAAGTAAGTATAATGCACAAAACTATTATAAAAATAATAGTTAGATTTTTGGAATTTATAAAATCTACATAAGATCTGAATATTCAGTTCTAGAAATACAAATCACATTTTATATACCTTGTGGTTTATAATTGTATCCATTAGGCATTTCTGGTGAAATACGTTTTTCCCGAAAATCTACTGAAGAATCTCCTCCTGACATTTTATTAGCTGATAAACGGGCTTTTCTTTCTAAATAATTATAATTGATTGAATAAAATGAATAATTTTCTTTATCATATTACATTTATAACAATTACCTTCACGTCTTCTTTGTCGACTTTCCAATTTACTTTGAACAGCTGATATCATTTTAATAGCTTCTTCTTCAAGTGCAAAACTAAAACCTATCATAGCATCCTAGAATAAAGATTAGTATGACAGAAAAGCTACTATTTTAATACTATCTTTCTGAAGAAATATGAATGTTAGATTATACCATAAATTTTACAGTACTTGATATATTATTATATTAATCACTCAAAAACCAAAAGCGGTCTAGCAAATTTGCTGAGGAGAGCAAGCAGTCTGCACAAGCTGGCAGATGAAGTGAAACTAATTATTCATTTAACTGATTCAGTGATTCAATATTCAAAAAAACACATTAGAACATAACATTATTGTTATGCTCATATAGGAGAAAATTATGTTATTGTTATTCTTGCCATATCAGTATATTTTTGCACATATGTGATTAAAGTTTTATATAACAATTATTAAATAGATTAGAAAATAAAATATTATGAGCTATTGGTAAAAACATGAGATAATATCATAAGCCAGAAAACATGAATGACTAAGGCATGGTCTGTATCAACATGTTTTGAAAACAAAGAGGAACTAGGAGGAAATTTTAATGGTAATAATAAGATCATAAGATGTGAAATAAGTGCACAAATATTATTTTCTTCTTATAATATAATTTGAGGTCAACCTTCAAATTAAACTTGAATCAAAATTGTATTGTATTTTTTTTTTTTCTTTTGATCTCTATCCTCAAATTAAAGTTGAATGAAAATTTATTTTCTATTTTCCTATCATACTGACCTCCCCTTCGAAAGTATGAAAAAATGACCTGACACACAGATATTTTATCTCATTGTAGATTTCATGTTCCCAAATCAGAGTTTTTTTTAGTGGGCAATATATTCTAAAAAAATATGATCTCTTCATGCCATCTTTAACGAAGCATAGAACACCTGTGTGCCTCTTTACCCATTTATCATGACCCGGTGCATCTGTAGTAAATAGCTGCATAACAGCTGTAGCTAAAGTCTAAAAATAACATAAATCATTTATAAAACAATGACATCCTGTTGATTAACAGCGTTCGAACGAATAAGAAATTGATAAGATAATGTTGAAAAGATAAACATGAATTAATAAGGCAAATATTATTGATGGTGATTACCGAACATCTAGGCCCTAGCAGTCTGAAAATTAATTCATTTTCATCCTGCGTCAAGAGCAATGAGGATACGTTATCCACAGGTCGATTTGATTTCATTTTAGCACCAAAATTTAGTTACGTCAAATATAACCTAAATTACTACAATTTATGCAGCATATCTACATCCGGCTACAACTATTTAGTTTGATATATTTCAAAATCGAAATATATATCACGCACTGATAATAAGAACAAACAATTGAGCATGTTTTAACAACAAAATAATAATCTGACAGCATCAACCTCTAAACACAATACTCGACAGAGCTGAGAGCTGTCAAGTAGGCATTTGCCTCACCTCACACCAAGGACTTTTAGTATCGATAATATCACATATTATCGATAATATTAAATTTTTATGGCGGCACTTTTGAAACAAACTAGCGGTGTGTGGCATCGTGCCCTAATGCAAATTGCTGAAACTTTCCGTGCCTTACTAAAATATTCGAGAGATATTAAATATTTTCAAATAGATTATTATAAATATCGGATTTAAAATGAAGAACATTGTCTATTATTTCTAAGTATACATACACACACATCCATTTTCTCTGAAATGTGTCAAAATGTTCAGAAACCTCTGAAACGTGGAGATATGCAAAAAAAAAAAAACATTTTCAATTTTCGGACCATTACCATAATTGACCCTACGGCAAGTTAAAAAAATATTTTTCTTTGAAATCTGGAATTACAAACTAAAAACTCTCAAAAGGAAAATAGACCCTTCAATCAGTAACATATTCAGAATATCTAACTCTAATATTATATTAATTAGTGAAATAAAAAAAAGGAAAAGTAAGTTTATATAAATTCCTGCTTAATTTATAAATTACATGTTTCAGTTATATTCAGTCTACTTGTGAAAATAAAATAATATGATATATGACTATCTATATTTATTCCTTTATAAATTATAACTATTATTGATTTTTGTTAATAAGACTTTACATGTGGTATTTTAAATAAAGCTGTTCAGGAAGTCTTACAAATGCAAACTATAAGTAATCTTGTTTACACCTTTCCGCATACATCCCCAAGTCTAAAAACAGTTTTTTGTATTACATAAGACTTTCTAGGTATAAGTGCCTAAAAATGATAGAATTAATTTATAACGAACTTTTTGCAGCTGTAATTCTAATTATTTTATTTCTAATATATAAACTGAAAATTTTACTGTTTAACAAAGAAGACATTGTAAGTAAAATTTTACAGTTAGTGTGTTATTCAAATCTTTATTTGTTTAATTTGAAGGTTGACCTCAAATTATATTATAAGTAGAAAATAATATTTGTTCACCTATTTTATATATCTTATGATCTTATTATTACCATTAAAAATTCCTCTTACTTACTCTTTGTTTCAAAACATGTTCACACAAACCATGTCTTAGTCATTCATGTTTTCTGGCTTATGATATGATATTATCTCATGTTTTTACCAATAGCTCATAATATTTTTTCTCTAATGTATTTAATAATTATTATATTAAAACTTCAATCACATATATGCACAAATGAATATTTTTTTCACAGGTAACTTTAGTGGAAACTCTTGAAAATCATTCTAATTATATAAACTATTATCCCAATTGTGATGTTAATGTATGGCTTAGGACTTGCGAGAAAAAAATTACTTCACCAATTACTGGAAAAATTAAAGGCAATGAAAAAAATACTTTTTAATTGTTGCAACTAAATTAAAGTTACTAATTTTTGTATATTAGTAATAAAAATAAATATTATGAGATTTTTATATTTACGATTATGAATGCATATCTAACTAATAATTTATTAATTTAGGAAGTATTCCAACTTGGATAAATGGGGCTTTAATAAGAAATGGTCCAGGAAGCTTAATCGTTGGCAAAGCTCAATTTAAACATTTATTCGATGCATCTGCTTTATTGCACAGGTAAATTTATAAATAATTATACAAAAATAATAAAAAGACATAAAATTTTTTTTTAAAGATTTGGAATAAATAATGGACAAGTTACATATCAATGTAGATTTCTTAGGTCGGAAAGTTTTAAGAAGAATCACATAGCAAATCGTATTGTTGTAACAGAATTTGGAACTAAGGCCATACCCGATCCTTGCCAAAGCATATTTTCAAGGCAAGCAAATATATATAAAACTCAAATAATCAAGTACATATTTTTTATAATTAAGTTCTCAATAGAGTTGCTTCTATATTTGAACCTGGAGAAGGCATTTCCGACAACGCTATGATATCCGTTTATCCCTTTGGAGATGAGTATTATGCCTTAACAGAAACTCCAATAATGCACAGATTTGATCCCAATGATTTGAAAACACTTGGAAAAGTAGAAATAGGCAAAAAATTAGGTCTAGTCAGTCATTCATCCCATCCACATCTTACACAAAAAGGAGTTGTTTACAATTTGGGAATGATTGTTACCTCGGCAGGCCCTCAATATTGTATTGTTGAATTCACGCCAAAGAAACAAGGTAATGGTTGCTACATTTGATGCTTGAAATGATAATTTTATATCATATTAATATTTAAGGTAATATGTTCGACACAACGCACATTGTAGCCAAAATACCAGTTAGATGGCCTTTGCATCCTTGCTATATGCATACTTTTGGTAAAAATGCCGCAAATAGGATAAAATAACTAATATGTAAATAAATTTGTATTTAACTGCTTCAGGTTTGACTAAGAATTATTTTATTATTGTGGAGCAACCATTAAGTTTATCTGTATCAGAAATGATAAAAGGCAGAATATGTGCAGATCCTATGATAAATTGTTTGAAATGGTTCGATAATCAAATGGTAAGGATAAATTATTAAAAAATCTTGAAGAATAAAAGCAAAGTCAATCATGAAGTCATTGATTTTTTGTAGTGTTAGTTTTTTATCATTTTTTTAGACATTCATTTATGTCATAAACCGCAGTACTGGAGAATTAGAAAAGACATTCAAAGCGCAACCTTTCTTTTATCTTCACATAATAAATCAATTTGAGACAAATAACCACATCATTTTAGATGTATGTTGCTACAAAGATCCTGCTATGGTGAAATGCATGTACATTGAGACGATGAAGGTATTTTTTTCATAAATAAAGCAAGTAATTCCATTAGTTAATTTTAAATATATTGAGCAGCAAATGCAGTTTAATAAAAATTATGCCAACATGTTTCGTGGACGACCAGTTAGATTTGCTCTTCCACTAAAAACGAATGAAAAAATTGAAAAACTAGATAAATTGGGCCAAAATATAGTAAATTTGTCATTTACTAGTGCTTGTGCTTATTATGGAAATGATGGATCTATAAATGTTATTCCGGAAATGTTATGTAATATCGGTTGTGAAACTCCGACAATAAATTATAATAAACGATCAGGTAGGTAAACGACAAACATTATTATTAATTAATTTATTAACTAAGGTAAGAAATCTAAATTATGCATTTATTTAAGGGAAACACTACCGGTATTTTTATGCTATTAGCTCAGATGTAGATTTGGAAAACCCTGGGACAGTAAGGAGAATTTAACCGATCTTATCTCATTAGAATCTTAATTGTTTTAACTGTTTTTGTATCCTTGTATTTCAGCTTATAAAAGTGGATTTAAAAAATAAAAAAACAAAGACATGGAGCGAATCCAATTCCCACTAAACCAGTTACGTAATATTACGTAATTTTTATGTAAGAAATATGTAATTTACATTACGTAATTAGATATTACGAAAGAATTACATAAATATTACGTAATTTACCTGAAAAAATATTACGTAAGAAAAATGAAGAATTTATTTCATATATATTACATAAACTAGTGGGTGCGCATGGCATCGTGCCTTTAGGCAAATTGTTGGAACTTCCCGTACTAATAATTATTTTGTTTTAAAAAGATTAACATTTTTGAAAAAATTTTACTTTGAAAAAATTAGATTTTTGAGAATAAATAAAACTTTGACAAAAAATTACCTTTTTTGAAAAAAAGACTTTTTGAAATAAAATAATTGCTTTATTTTGAAATATTTTGAAAATTCCAAACTTTTTTCAAAGTAATCGTACTGCATTAACTGCAGAGAGACGAAATAAAAATGGCTCGCGAATTTTCGGAATATTTCGTTTCATGAGCGAAGCTGTCGACCAATGAACGGCGCTAAGTGACATAAGTACCGTTATGTCTGCAAGGAGACTGCCGTGCCGAGGCCGCCGGCAATTCGGCAAAGATTATGGGAGTACGATTTGCCATGCGTTTTAAATTAAGTTTTTTTGTTTTGTAGTGTCTTATTAATATATTTAATTTGCTAATTAAAAGTGAAAGTGATATTAAATATGTGAAAATATATGTTTATTATAAATGTATTCTAAAGCCTCTTAAATTACATGAATTACTTAAATCTTTACTCTAAAACGCTCCATTAACCTAAAAATTAATCGTGTGTTATTAAATTTTTTTCTAATAATAATTAGATATATAAAGAACTTTGTTTCAAATGTAACGGTATTCATATTCTAAATACTATTTTATTGTTAATATAAATTCAGTGACAAATTATATATAACAGAATCACTTGGCCTTTTGAAAACCATTTGCTTTGTGTAAGTATATAAAAAATATATGTATCAAAAGTTAAATAGAAATTATTACCATGTTTTTTATTTCAGGTGAAAATCGAAAGCTAATAATTTATATCCGAGATGCATTTTTTCATCACAAATGGGCCATGAAATAGATATCGAGAATGCTTTTGTACTCGTAGAAAAGACATCATAGACTTATACCACATTTAGTTTTAACAGAAGATACAGTTCCTAATTACATAATATTTTCCATGAAAAAGTTAGTGAAAGAACTTATGAAGACTTTGTAAAGGATACTTCGATGATTTTTATTTCGAGTTTAATTTAAAATTAGCATTTCTCTTACTTATCATTTATCATATTGTATATTTTTGCATTTGCCATGAAAATGTTGATCAATATGTCATATGTAATTACATTATTTTATAAAAATTGTGAATTATTATTTATTACTTTATGGATTTTCTAATGTTAAAATTATGTATATATGCCAAAAAAATAAACATGCCATATAAATGTGCTTTTTCTTTCATTTTTCAGATAGTGTATATATATATGTATATATATATATATATATATATATATATATATATACGTGTGTGTGTGTTTATATGCATGCGTGTGTGTACATACATATATATTATATATGTATGTACATACTGTGTGTATACTCATTTCTATGTTCATGAATGTGTGTGTTCATATATACACATATGTGTGTATGTGTGTGTTCATATATACAGATATGCTGTGTGTATTTATGTATGTGTGTAAAAAAGGGCCCCTCCACGTCATTTTTTTTTTCAAAAATTACGTAATTATTATGAAATATTTTCGTAATCCCATATTACGTAATGCACATTACTTAAAATAGGCGAAATTATGACACATATCTTACATTAATCTTACGTAAAAATGACATAAGTATGTAACTTTTTTGCGTAAAAATTACATAAATATTACGTATTTTGGCTTAGTGGGTTGTTACCCCAGTGAACCCATTTTTGTCAGTAATCCTGACCCCAAGGTTTGGTAAATTCGATTGAATTAATAAATAATGAGTATAAGTTATAATTTTTTTAATTTCAGTCCGAAGATGATGGAGTAGTATTATCTTCACTAGTATGGGGTAAAAATAAAACTAACAAAGTGGCATTATTAGTTTTATGTGCAAAGTCTTGGTCAGAAATTGGACGTTGTGTCTTTAAAACACCTGGACCGGTTCCAAAATGTTTACATGGCTGGTTTGCAAATGCAATGAAGCAGAAAACTTAAATCTTACGTCATTGTTTATATTATTCCGTTCCTAAGAATTGTTATATTATTAATCATTTCCTAATCTAAGTAACAACATTACTAATTAACGACAACATTAATGTATGTTGTTAATTTTATATAAATGTTATGTACCTTACATTTGTTTTTGAAATAAATATATAACAACTTAAGTTATGATGTCATTTAAATAATCACTATAATCATATAAATATGTGTGTATATGTGAGGAACTTGAGAGTGGTTGTAGCATCAAATATGAAAATAATATGAATGATTTTCAACAATAATTTAATTAAACATAATAATTATAAAATATATGTATATACAAATTACAAAATCTATAAATATTAATGCGATTTTAAATTTACCGCAATTCAGGTTAACCAACAGCAAAACTTGAAATATTTTTAACAAGTGTCAAAAAATGACAGAAAATTGTTTACTAATGAATGTAAAGAAAGAAATATTAAAGACCTATAATGCTGTATTCAATTTTAATGTAATTTAATAACTAAGAGAATTATATTAGTAATTAAATTATGTGATAATTTCAATAATTACATACTTGTCAATAAAGTAAATTAATTTATTTGATCAAATTCAAAATGTCTAAAACAGACACTGATCGCCCTGTAAAGCGTTATAGGCGAGATGATATAAAATCATCAGAATCCGAGAAAGAAGACGATGATTATGTTCCTTACATTCCTGTAAAGGAACGCAAATTAATGCAACTGCAAAAGTTAGGTCGAATTTCACAATTAACAAATGAAGCGAATCAAAGCAACAAATCTTCCAGTGATAATGATAACGATGATGAGAGAGCCGATGAAGCTTGGGGTAGAAAGTTCAACATCAGTTTACTAGATCAACACACTGAGCTGAAAAAGATTGCTGAAGCAAAAAAAATAAGTGCCGTTGAGAGACAGTTGAAAGAAGAAGAAAAGATTTTAGAAAGTGTGGCTGAGAAGAAGGCTTTGATGGGTGTTGCTGAATTAGCTAAAGGAATTGAATATAAAGAACCCATCAAAACTAGTTGGAGTCCCCCGCATTTTATATTAGCAACACCAGAATCCAAATTTGAAGACTTAAGGAATAAACTTAGGATATTGGTAGATGGTAAAGATATACCACCGCCAATAAAGAGTTTCAAAGCAATGAAATTTCCAACAGGCATCTTGAAAGGTTTAGAGAACAAAAATATAAAAAGACCCACTCCAATTCAAATTCAAGGAATTCCAGCTGTACTTTCAGGCCGAGATATTATAGGTATAGCTTTTACTGGATCAGGAAAAACATTGGTTTTTGTACTGCCTTTAATAATGTTTTGTTTGGAACAGGAAACTTGTTTACCATTTATTCGAAATGAAGGTCCTTATGGATTGATAATCTGCCCATCACGTGAATTAGCAAAACAAACATATGACATAATTCAACATTATTGTCGCTATCTACAACAAGCAGGGCAACCTGAAATAAGATCTTGCTTAGCTATAGGCGGTGTCCCTGTATCTGAATCACTTGATGTTATTTCTAGAGGTGTTCACATAATGGTAGCTACTCCCGGAAGGTTAATGGACATGCTGGATAAGAAAATGGTTAAATTGGACGTTTGTCGTTATTTGTGCATGGATGAAGCTGATAGAATGATAGATATGGGTTTTGAAGAAGACGTGCGAATGATATTCTCATTTTTCAAAGCCCAAAGGCAAACTTTATTATTTTCAGCTACTATGCCGAAAAAGATACAAAATTTTGCAAGATCCGCTTTAGTCAAACCTGTAACAATAAATGTGGGCCGTGCTGGTGCGGCTAGCATGAATGTTATTCAAGAAGTTGAATATGTTAAACAAGAAGCCAAAATTGTTTATTTGTTAGAATGTTTGCAGAAAACACCACCACCGGTATTAATTTTTGCAGAGAAAAAACAAGATGTAGATGCTATTCATGAATATCTACTTTTGAAAGGTTTATATATAAAATATAACAATTTTTTTATGATTTGCATTATGTGCTTAAATTTGTTTTATTTTTTAGGAGTAGAAGCAGTAGCCATTCACGGAGGTAAAGATCAAGAAGAAAGAAGCCGGTCAGTAGAAGCATTCCGAAAACAACAAAAAGATGTTTTAGTTGCAACTGATGTTGCTTCCAAGGGTTTAGATTTTGCAGATATACAGCATGTCATAAACTACGATATGCCAGAAGATGTAGAAAACTATGTGCACAGAATTGGAAGAACAGGTACAATATTCTTTACAATTTATGTTAAACATTTGTTAAATACTAATTTGTCATTTTACAGGTCGATCAAGTAAAACAGGACTTGCAACCACCTTTGTTAACAAAATGACTGAAGAATCAGTGCTATTAGATTTAAAACATCTGTTGAAAGAGGCTAAACAAAAAGTACCACAATTCTTAGCAGACTTAGCACATGAGAATGAGAAATATCTAGATCTCGGTGATACACAAGGTTGCAGTTATTGTGGTGGCTTGGGCCATAGGATTACTGACTGTCCAAAACTAGAAGCTGCGCAAAGTAAACAAGCATCAAACATTGGAAGAAAGGACTACTTATCAAATACAGCAGCAGATTATTAAGTCTTTGTTGCATTATTTCCTTCCTTAATATAAATAATACAAAATTGTAACAAATTTTTTACATGTTTTAACAAGATAAGTAAATTTTTATATTATAATGGATAAATACATAATAACTTACCCAGCGAGTTATAACTTAGAGTTTTGTTTTTTATCCTTACAAATAAGATCACTCATTTCCAAAAAGGAAGCACACATTGTTCTGAAAAATATTCTTGCATTGGTTTCTTCACTATCTTTATATGTTGTGACATAAAAGCGGATTCTATAAATAAAAGATTAACAAAATAAACATTCAATGAAGCTGAGCTGAGCTATTCTGTGCATTATTAGTAACTTACTCGGTGGGACATATATTATAAAATACACCATATCCATCAAGGCACATTGCAGCTACAGCACCTCCCATAGGTAAATAACCGGATAGACTCGTAGATAGTTTGAAATTACCATTTCCTCCACTGTTTATAATTATATATTGCATAATATGTAAAAAGTACATTACAAAAAATATTAAAAATACCTTCTACTGTATAATTCATGTCTGAAGAAGTCTGGTATTTGAATGTTGTTTTCCAATGCTGTGCAATATAAACCGAAAAGGTGCCTATCGCATCCAGCATTTTTCTTTCCTTCATTCATAAGATGCATGTGTTTAGCCAAGGCCTTATATAGAGATCCACTTTTATTTTTAACCTAAAAAATCGATAATAAAATATACAATTACTTCAATGATATAATATACCCAATTATATTATATTTATTTCTTGTTATATGATTATTAATATATTCAAAAATATAACTTACATTTTCTTTCGAATCGCACATTATTGTAACCCATTTCAAAGCTTCTTCAGTACATGATCGAACTGTTTCAGTTCTACCATTGTAATAATGCCTAGTGGTTGCAGTTTCATAAGTTGCACAAAGTCTGCATTGCATTATGAGATATTGAAAATAATATTAAATATATACAATCATTTTTAATACATACTTTCCATGCATTTTGTAATATGTTAACTGTAAAGCCATTTGAACAAATGCATCAGGGTGTATTTTCAAATCTTTTAAGTGATTTTTACCAAATCCTTTGAAAGCTTCAGAAACTATATCAACACTGATTTGCTGCAATGATAAAATAATATAAAATATATAACAAATATGGATTTATTAATTTTTCTTACATTCTTCAGTAAGTCCTTTTGTAGTCTGCTTATTTCTCCACTAATTCGTTCATCCATATCAAATAATAACTCACATGGCTCAATTACTTTTTCCTTTTCCATTTGGTACCAATCTATTCCATTTTCCTGTATTTTACAGTATACATAGTAGCTAGCAAAACCAGAAATTGTACCATCAAATGCTGTATGCTAAGATTTTTAATTATTTTTTTTTAATTAATTCTGTTATCTAATATAACATATAAATTTTATTCATTACATACATCACAAACTCCACCTATAAAACCATTTTCAAAGAATACTACACTGAAGCTTTTGTCAGCCCATCTCGTGCTATAATTATTGCACAAAGTGAGAAGACAGGTTTCTGTTGTGTCTTCTGGGGAATTAGAATCAAGAGATATTACAAACATACTCTCTTCTATCAATTTTAATACCTTCTTGTTATTTTGAGATAATGACTGCAAGTATTTTCGATTCTACAATAAAAAAAATGCATATATAAATTTAAGACAACGCCGTTGTTTCTTTGATATAAAAATATCAATTTAAATATACCTTTGCCCAAGATGTTCTCTCATCACAAGTCAAATAACCAGTGCCTTGTCCTGGTTTCCCAACGCACATACTTTTAATATCAGTCAAAACTTGTTCCAATTGAGATGCCTTTATTGGTTTACCATCTATATTTATATCAATTTTGAAAATCCTTCCATTACGCATTATAATCACATAAACTGGACAGGGGCCTTCCCTTTCTAAGTTCAATAAACATTTATTGGTACCGTTAATAAATATATCTCAACAATAAAACTCGTATTATGTTGTACCAGTTTTGAAATAACAGTTCAGGCTATCTAACTCTTCACCAGGTATACGTGTCGTGTTGAAGAGTCTTCGTAGTTGTGTTGAACTATAAATTGAAGATGGATCTGGACTTTGAACAGTTTTCAACTTCTCAGATCTCAATAGTCTCCAAAATTCTATGAGATAATATATATCTACGGTAGCCAACTAGAAAAATTTAGAACTTCAGAATTGTTACATTCTCAGAAAAGAATTCTATAAGAAAATTTGAAATCCTACTGATTTATATTTTAGATAATGCTATTTATATTCATTTTTATGAAAACAAAATAAAACTAATTAAAATCTTACAGAAGCCATGTATGCATACAATTATAATTATGTTTATGAATATATTGTATGTATTCTTGATTATCAAAAGTTTGTTACCTTAAGGCCAATATCCAAAGAAGGCTTAATCAAATCAGTTAATGATGAATGACCAAACATATTGCAAAATGGCAACAACGGAAATCTGCTTGTTAAATATCCATATTTATCCCACCATTCATGTAACTACGTAAAAAGAATTAATAGTAAATTATTGAGATCATCGTTTTTAAATATTTATTATCATTTATCATTTACATATTTCTTACCCAATTTTTCTTTTGGCTGGCTCTTTTCTGCAACATGATATGAAGTTTTTTACCAATTCCATTTTCAAATTCCTGAATAATGCGCTTGGCTTCTTTTAATTCATCAGCTGTAGCTAACGGTAGTAAAGAATTATAATAATTTGATAATGTTTTATCCAATGATTGTAATGGTAACGGGGGCAAATTTTCATCATAGCTAAAAGTTCCAACAACTGATTCTGTTGGGTACACAAAGAAATGATCAACTTGTGACATTATTTGAATTTTGTAATTTCAGTTTAACTGCCTCTTTTTGTACGACGTCTGTGGATTTATAAAGTGTATTGAATATATAGAGTGAATTCAAATAGTACTTATATTGAAAATGATATCAAAAAAATGATTTCACCTTTGAAACAATAATGAATTGCAGAAATCTAGCCTCGTCGATGCACTTTGTATACAGCACAAATGTCAACCACCTCCACACCAACACGAGAGTCCGACATTTTACTTGTTTATCAACATTCTTTATTTACGACACTCACATTAATAAAAAAAGGAAAGATAAGGGGCAGGATAAACGAGGTAAAGAAACTCTTTGTATAAAAAATACTATTGGCGAGCTGCAGAAATTTATGAATAGATAAAACAAAGTGGGTGTGAGTGGCATTTTACAGGCAAGTTGCTAGAGCTTATTCTGATGTGTAAATAATGCCACTTGTTGAGAATTTATAAAATTAGCAACTTTCAAAATGGCGAACTGCAGTTTCAAAAAATTCAAAAAACATGTTTTTGTCGAAAATAAAGTTTTTGCATTCTTAAAACAAATCCATTTATCCGACCCTTTATTCCATTAATTTCTATAATTTCAACACTTTTCGCCAATGTCAATGAACTTTATTATAAAACAAAGTTTCGTCTGCCAAGAAATGGCCCAGCCGATCTTGACCCTAATCTTGACCATCTTGATAATCAGCACGATTTCAAACTGATATCTTTTAAACGGTTTCTAAATTTTTTAAATTGATTCATGACTTTTTAAGAAAGATTAGCCCAAAATTTTTGCATTTTTCTGCTAATTCTGACGAAATGTCTGGGCCGATCGTCAAATAGCTCTTAAATTTTTTAAATCGGTCATCGGACCAAATATTTTTCCAATCTTCAGACGTTGAAAGCATAAAATCAGCTGTTCGGATTCTCTGTCAAAAGTAAACTTCTCCTTCAAGAATTTTACAAAAATTATGTGATTAAGCATTTATTCATTCTTGTAACATAATACATTTGCAATTGCAAAATTAAAAAAAAGAGTAATAAAATATTTTCTGGATTGTTCAGAAATCTTTTGCATCATTTTTTTAAAAACGGATGTCGCTAATAATTGGATCATCATCTTAAAATTCATTAACTTAGGAGGTAGTTATAAATTACAAATCACCAACAACAACAAGATTCTTTAATTATCTTGTGGGTTTATCAGCACTAAAGACACATAGTGAGCAGTCCATGGCACCCGAAGCCAAGGCTAATCGATATGGATGAAATGCTAAAGATGACACTGGTCCTATTCTTGGCCCCATAAAACCTTCATGCATTCTTATTGAGTTTATAGGATGGCCACTTAGATTGCTAATGGAAATGTGGTGATTGACAGAACCACTAGAATAAAAAATATTAATAAATAATTCACCTTAAATTACAATTCATCACCATGCAATATTTTTAACTGTATTTCGTAACTCACAATGCAAATAAATCTGCAGTATTATGAAATGACATTGCAGAAACACCACTACCTACATCCCAACTCAGTACCGAGCTATCTCTACGCATATCAAATACTTTCACATCTCCAGCAAGACTGAAATTTATATAGTAAAATAAAAAAAAAAACAGATAATATGTTGATAAATTTTTCTAAAAGATTATAGCCGTACCTTCCAGATAAAATTTGACCGTTATTTCTAAGACTAGTTGTTAACACCCATCCACGATGCTCTCTGTAGGTCTTGATTCTTGATTCTTGTGGTGACAATCTTCTATCAAATAATCTTAAACTACCATCTGAACAACCAGCAACTAATATATTGTTATGGGAATATCTACTTGTAATAGTAGTTACACTGCAATCAGCACCTACATTATAATGCAATTAATATATCAAACACTCTATATAAATTATTAAGAATTTTTTATACCTGTTGGAATATCTTGAAGCCTTAACTCATGTTCTGTATCCCAAACCCTAAGCATACGAGCATCACCAGCCATAACTATAGTTTGTGTGTTTTGTTCCCAGCACATGACAACACCAGCATTTATATCAGTTTTGCTAGGCAGAATGTCTGTTAAACCTTGCCAAGCTGATACCAAAGTTGGGTCTCTAGATATACCATGACCAATGTGACTAGTATGTGATTTCCATAATCGTACAGAACCTTCTTCATGACCTACCTAAATTATAGATAGATTAATGGTAAAAAGAACTTTCAGAGAAGTGGGAAAAGTTTACCAAAAGTAAGCCAATATCATGCGGATTAATCCACTCCAGTGAAGTTATTCTTCCACAAGGCATACCACCTTGACCCCGACCTATGCTTTTATTATGTTGAAAGCTCATTAGTCTTGCACCACTTTGCCAATCCCATACACTGAAAAACGGGCAAGGAATTAAGTTTAAAAAACAAAACTATTTATAAATTATATTTTTTTTACCAGATAGTGTCTTTAGCTGCTACAGCTACATGTGATTCATAAGGGTGGAATTTTAACACTGTTGCTACTTTTGTGCTGCGACCAGACCATACTTGGCTATCTATTTTTGTATAAGAAGCTCTTCTTTTCTCCTCTAAAATTCAAATTCAAAAGTTCTACGATCATATAATCAATTAGCATATTATAAGAAACTCAACTACATATCAGCATATTAAAATTTAAATTTAAAACTTGAATTAAATTTTAGAACTAATTTTTTAAGAAATTCTACCTCGTCCTTCATTTCTTAGAGTTGTATTTCTTATGAATCTCCATTCCCGTTCATAAAAACCCTTTGATTCACAGTCTGATATTCTCATGTTTTGTTTAACAGGTCGAGTAAAATATTTAGCTGCCCACGCAACATAATTACTGGTAACTAAAGGCTGCATTATTCCAAGTTCTTTATCTTCTTGTTCTAAATCTTCAGAAATAGGATTTGGTATAGCTTTTCTTGTTCTATTTAATATAGGTCTAAAAACAAACAAAAATTCATTAGAAAAATTGGTTAAATAAATCATACTGTAGACGATATACCTATTGACATGAATAGGTGGTGATTCACCAAGGTAATTAGGTTTTGTATTAGGCGAAGGAGGTAGACTAACACTTGAACTCATATTTTGTGAAACGTCTCTTGAAGAATACCACTCTTTTTCTTGTTTGCGAATGTGATCAACAACTGTAGTTGCCATCATTGCTACTTGAGGGAATGGATCAGTAGACAGTGCAATTAGACCATGCCATAGTTTCATATATACAGAACTGGAAAATTTACAAGCACTTTAAAGTAATCATTGAAAATTGGTGTCTTGATTTATCTACAGTTCCTAGGTCTGAATTGCAATAAATTTATTTTATTACTAACCCAAAACCAATTGTTGGCAGAGAAGGCAGTGGTGATAATTGCCCCATTGAACTGATACTACTAGAACTTGAAACACGTTTCATTCTTTCAAGTGTTCCTAAACCAAAATCAACAGTGTCATTAGCGTGGCCAGAATGATAGCCTGGTGAAAAAACTCTTAATCTATCTCTAGAGGCTATCCTACGCATTGGTGAAGTCATTACATCGTTTGTATTTAGCAATGGACTGATTTTTATATTTTCTTGCAAACATACTGCCAAGAAATGTGTTTCGAATTGAAGAATCTAAAATAGTTAAATGCACATTTTAATTATATTCAAGAATAAAATGTAATAGATAAACAAATTTACCATCCATTGAATAGCAGCTACTAATTCAGCTCGAACCAATGGTGACATGTCCTGGCTTACAATATTCATTAGATTCATTGCAACAGCATGATCTATATTGTTAGCATGTTCAGAACGTTCTTTCACTGAACTTATAAAAGTACCAAGAGCGTAAACAGCAGCTGCTCGTACCTTATAAAATTTAATTAAGAAAATATTCAAATGTTTATCAAATAATTTAAATTATACTAAGTTTACATAATAAATTTCTTATACTTTACGTTATCTTACTTCTGGTACTGGATCCAGCAAAAGCGTGTCCAATTTTTCATGTGCCAAATCTCGAACTCCTGACCATCTTGCCTTTTCATATCTCTGCCACAAACGTCCAAGACAAATAGCTAACCATTGTCTTAATATTTCATTGTTATCATTCAACTGCTCTAGACAAACTGACACTAAAGATCCTTGTAGAGCTGCCTCTTGACCAGGTGGGTAATTGTTAACTATACAGGCTAAAACAAAAGCAGCTAATGTTCTATGCTCAGCCTAAAAAAATAATATTACTTCAATATTTCATAAGAAATATATTCTGAAACTTTAAAAGATTCTTTAGATCAAGTAAATCATGAACATTGCATATCATTTAGATGCATTTACCTGAATTGTTGGATCCTGAAGAACAGCTAAAAAATATTTGTGTCCATTATCTCGAACAAGATCAGCTTGGCATGTCTATAAATAAACCAGACAAAAAAATTATATCATGTAAAAAATTATGTGCTATTTTTGCTGTACATTGACTCACACCATCGACTGCTAAAATCTTTGCCCAAATGAACACCAACATGGGCCTCAGCTCTTTCGCTGAACTTTGTAGAAGTTTCAAAACATAAGGAAAAATTCCAACACTTAAAGCTAAATTAACAGCCCATGGTCCTAAATCTAGGAATTTTCCTAGCAATTCTAATGCACGTAATCTATGTACTTGGGATAATAGAACTTGCAGTACAATTGGCAATTGCTCTGGAGGAGTTCTTTTCTCAGAACCTGAAATAATAGATAATAGATAGATATTAGTAATGATAACAGTTCAATATTTTTTGTCATAATGTTTCATACCTAAGTTTAACCAAACTTGAAAGGCAGTAAGCTGTTCTTCAAAAAATGGTGAATGCTGGAATTGTGCTTTATGTTCCAAAATGTTTGGTAATTGAACTAACGCTAAATCTAAAGCAAGATCCCAGGCAGCCCACATAGAATGGCAGGCACTTGAAGGCAAAGCAGGGAACGAAATTGGTGTACAATCATATGACCTTCAAGAATTAATAAAAATAATTACTTTCAAAACAAAAAATATATTAAATATATATATTAACAATTTTCCAATTAGAATAAAGGTACATGTAAAATATATACATGTAACATACCTTAAAATTCTCTCAGCTAATAAAAAATTTCTAAAAAGACTCGCAACCAGTAAATCCTGGCGAAATAGCTTTTGAAACAAATCTCTTGGCAAAATATTCCAAGCTATTGTGTCAGTTATAGCAGTAAATATCCAATTTAATTCTCCAAGCATTGTCCTTCGATCTGTCAGAAGACCTGGAATTCTGAATATGCAAAATTCACAGATAATACATTAATATGAAATAAATGTTTATTTTAGACATTTTATTTTACTTACTTGTCAATAAGATCTAAATTTATTTTGGGTACTAACTTAGAAGTATTTTGCATAACAAACCATCTCAATGCCACTTTTATAGGTGTTGTCAAGCATGCAGTAAACAGATCTAAAACACGATTATTAGTTATTCACTAGATTATTATTAATTATTCTTTAGATTATTATAAATTTACAAAACCTGCTGGCAAGTCTGGATTCATAGGTAAAATTTGATTAGAAGCACACGCTGCAAGTTGAATACAATTTTTATAAGATACAAAGTTTGTTGGAGAACCCCGATTCTGATTAGACATTTGCTGGAAAATAATTTTGATAATTATTAAAATATGAAGTTATCTTGTTTCCTTATGAAAAAAAAAACGATATTAAAATTTATATTTACATAATTAACTACAAACTCTTTGCTGTAAGTAATTTAACTTACTTCTTGTTCTCTTTCATGTTGATCAGCAAATGTTTTAAAAGAATCTACAATAATTCCAGCATTCGAGCAGTCATAAACATATATAGAAGGAGCACCCATCCAAGCTTGCAAGTCGTACACAGATAATGGTATGTACTGTGTATAGGTCTACAACACATTGAATAAGGATCATATAACACTTCTTATTTGTCTTTACTTCTTATAATGCTGGAAAAACTGATTTGTTTATGTATTTTATATAACATACCCTGTTAAAAACCCAAATTTCACCATTTGTTGTAGGTTTTGGAACACCATGGCCATTATAATGAAATAATACACGTTCATCTTTAGCATTGCGCCTTAATGAACTACATAATTTTTTAACTTCATCAGCAGTTGGATCTAAGGATTGTTTATATCGAGCTCTTGGCTGCCATCGTTCATATTGCTTTTGTAAATTAGCACCAATCATTTCCAGAGCCTTTGTAGGGGACAGAGTAATAGGATCTAAAACCAATTGAAATTAAACTTTAAATTCAAAATTTTTAGAAAGTATTTGCAACAGCTTCTTTTATATAATTAATGTATTGGCAAAATACAACTTTTTTTAATAATTAAAATTGCACAATGCCAATCCTGTAATATTATTTACAATTTGAAAATTGTGCAACGTTAAATGCTATCTACTTTATATAGCAAGTAATATTTACTATTGTAAAATATTTTATGAATGTATCAAAATAATAATTAGTATATAACTTACCTATCCAACATTCTAGCCTTGCACAAGGCTGCGTTTTAATTATATCAGGAGGATCGACACCTACATTTAAGCAAAGTACCAGGGCTACGCTCACTGTTTTCATCTAAAAATATTACAGGTTATGTGTTTATCAAAATCTCTAATGATGCACTAAGATAATATAAAATGTACCCTCTCCTTCATTCTCCATGTTGGCTCTAAAGACTCGGCCCCTTTTATTAATTCTGTATGACGGTTTTTGTTAAAACTTAAAGGTAAATCCCAATCTGAAATATCTGTGCATGTGTCAGATTTTTCAGGGTTTTCTTCTGCAGCCTCCACCATTGTAAAAAAAAATAATCAATTGTGTTAAAATATAAATTACATATCTACTCATTCATTGTTTAAAATAGTTAGACAGTTTTTGGATAATAATAACTTCTTTTAAAATCTCTTGAACAGTGATATTGTTTATTTTGTTTTTGACAGTAAAGTATGACATAATAATTCTGCATGGGATTGTCATACTGACAGTGGTGTTGCCAGATGGCAGCTTTTACTTAATAACGTTTTCCGTTAGTTTTTTAAATTTTAAATCTATTGAGTAGCGTAATAATGATTAATTAATATGAAATATAATTAATATAAATAGAATTCATTCCATTTTAAATAAACAGTATGAACATATGGATTAAATTATTTTTTCTTCAAATGAGCTACAAAGAAAATTATAAATTCATTAACAAAAAGTCTTTTCACTATACAACCAACCATTATTAATTTTAACAATTAATTATATTTATTTGCATTATCAATTGTATTGATACTTGAATTAATATTTTTTTAAGGAGGCTTTTGGTAATTTTCGAAATTTCATGTCAAAAACTCATGGCACATCTTTGGATTACCATTTCCATAAGTAGATGGATTTATGCATATGAAAATTAATATTTTATTTAATATAATAAACATGTTAAAGGAGTGATAAAAATTTCCGCCGATCAAAAATATTTATTTCTACAATTAACAATTTAATTAATGTGCGATAATGTATACAATGTGGTTCACTTTTAACATCAAGTATCGAATAAAATCAAGAAAATATTATACATTTGTCTTTTGTTTATCAGTTTTATTTTTTATGAAACACGTTCCTAATTCAATGTCTTTTTTGAGTATTTGTATAGCTGTGTCGAGTTGGCATCGTTCATCTACATTCATGTCGGGAATCTCACAAATTTTTTTCACCCCTTTTGGTCCAAGTTTACAGGGTGAAGAAAAGTATTTGATTCCTTTACAAACATTGCTGCGGACATAACAGGGTTCGATTACATCGTTTTGGCCACTTTTTGCCAAGCAGAGGCTGTTGATGAATCTTGCGGCGGCGTAAGACATTGCCAAAGAGTATCGACTCGATCCGCTTTCACAGCTTCGCAATTTTTGCATCTGTAATAAATAATAGATAAATCATTGTCACAAAAAAATATTTCTCACTTTACGGATTTATTTCCTCATCCATGATGAGAAAGTATAGGCAAATAGGATGTTAAGAAATTTTTTTTACCGTAATGCCACTCTCTTTGACTTTTGTGGTAAGTTTTTCGATCTTTTTTTTAGGCAATTTCTTCGTTTTAGGTCTGGCTCGTGAAAAAATAGGGACAGTGGTGTCGCAGGATTGACCTCCCAAAACTGGAACATTTACAACAAGCGGATTGCATTTTAGTGCCGCAGCCACGAAACGGTTTGCCCTCACAGTATTCACAACAGTCATCCCGATAATTTTCCGAGGATTGTAAACACATCGCTAATAAAAATATATTGCTATTATATATACTGTTGTATATTGCACTGATTGAAATATATCAAATCCTACCTCTTTAAACACTTCCGAAATCAAAGGAACCATTGAATTCACAGGATTTGTTACGACCAGCAAAATAGCACTTGGTGATATATTCGCAATGCAATTTGCAATCTTTACCATGGTTGCGCTGTTCCTTTCAAATAATTCTTTATTGGTTGATGGTTGGTTCAGGCCGCAGCAACATTGACATAAAACAATAATATCAGCACCTAATATAAAATAAAATATTTAATTATTGGCATATATTTTACATCCATGTGGGTCCATTACCCCTAACTGCTTTGCCGAGGTTCTTTGATTTTTTGAAAGCTTTGACCTTAGCTTTGGATTGAATGTGAGAGCAATCTTTAGCAACTCCTAAAGTGGATGGTGCTTTATCAAAAAATGTAATTTTGCTTATCAGTGGCATCTGTTTTAGTAACATACACAAGGGTGATCCAACGGCACCAGCGGCTCCTACCACTGATACATGGATAAACCTCTCTTGCTGTAATAAAAAAAAAAAATTATTTTCATATAAAAAATTACATGCAAATAATGCACATACAAAATATTCGTATATTATATGAATAAAGATTGCAATAAATGGTACAAGCCAGAAAACCAAATTTATTCAGAAAGATCTACTATTTGGCAACGAAATGTCGTATGAATATATTATATTCATATATTGTCCAGGGTCGTATTTATGATTAACAATATTCATTTTACTACTGTCAATATGACATTACTTACAATATTATTAAATTTTGTGGAGCATTTCGTAGTGACTTTTTCTAACACACCGGTTGAAGAAAAGGATTTTGATACACGTTTATAAGTTTGCATTTTGTTGAAATACACAGGAAATTTTGACTGAAGAACTGGAAATTTACTTTACTGAAGCTTATTGTAATGCCATTTTTTTGTTTTTGTTTCAATTTTTAAATGCAAAAATATTCATTGCATTTATGTTAAAAACGTTTTATGGAATTGGGCGAAATGGATATGAAAAGGCAATAACGGATATGAAAAGGCATTTTGATTGAAGAAAGTTGCATATTGGTTGGAAATGTATATATAATCGATATATATATATATATATATATATATATATATATATATATTATTAATTTATTAATATCATATATTAATATAATCAATATATTAATTTGACCAAAACTTTCAAATTTTGACTTACATTTCAAATTTGGCTTCAAACGGTTCAGAAAACGTCGCGAAAATACTTAAATTTAGCAAATTGGATTTTCTGATTATAAAAGCTTTTTCTTCGGAAAGTTAATACATGTGTGAGAAATAATGCTATTATGAGAAAAAAAAACAACTAAGAAAGTTCTTTGAAAACAATAATTTTAAAAAATCGGTTCTTGCGGATTAGGCGAGAAAACCGAATTGCTTAAATATGAATTTTAGTTATGTTGATAATAGTCTGTTTTTACAAAATTTGTATAAATATATCACAGAAAATAGTTCACATATTTTGCTTCTGCGATAGTTATTACCATGTTATTACATATTCATGCTTTGTCATCAAAATTGTATGTTATTAGCGTTAAAATTATATGTAGTATTACTGAAATTTTTTACTGACTGACTAAAAACGTATAAAAACACAGATTTAAAATAATAAAAAAACATTTTAATATTTATAACAATTTATGCCAATAAAAGTTTCTTTATCAAATATATTTACCGAAGCAAATATATAAAAAAGGCCGCAACGATTGTAAAATATCTATTAAAAAATACGTTTTTGCATAAAATTCTATTTTGACATGTATTTTTGCAATGTGTGTAAATGTTAAAACTAAGTCAAATAAATTATTTATTCTATAACATATTTAATTAAAAGTTGATTTCATGCTTGTAAATTTTATTTCGGTAAGTTTATGTTACTTGGAGACAATTTGTTGAAACGGTACAGTACTGAAAACATAATTTAAACAGATTTTGCAGAAGATAGTAAAATTAAAAACCTGTGACATACTGCACCAATGAATTATTTTCGGCTGAATTACACTTTCTAGATTTATTGCAAAAAGGTTCATCGCTATTTCCGTGCGTACAATTATTCGGCTTGTAAGTTTCTTCACTTTTTGCAAGGATTCTTTTCCTCTTTTGGCTTTTTGCAATCTTTTTTCTCCTTCTTTGGTTTAGGTTTTGGACATGGAACAGGTTTCCTTTCTTTGCCCTTGGAGCAATCTTTAGGCTTTCCACACGATGAAGGTGTCTTTTTGGGTTTAGGTGTTGAACAGGATTTTTTCTCCTTTTTCGGTTTTTTGCATTTTGGTTTCGGTTTTTTGCATGTATCTTTTGGTTTAGGTTTTTTGCATGTATCTTTCGGTTTAGGTTTTGGGCATTTCGGTTTAGGTTTTGGGCATTTCGGTTTAGGTTTTGGGCATTTCGGTTTAGGTTTAGGTTTGGCGCATTTATCTTTTTTCTCTCTCTTCCTTTTGATTTTCTTACAGGTAACTTTTGATTTTGGTTTTTCGGGTTTGGATTTCTTATCCTTTTCACATTGATTTTTAATAAAATCTACACCCATTTTAATGTCACCTGAAAGAGATAGTATATTTTTATTTAGTTTTTTTTTTCTGGTGGATAAACGGCTCCACCGATTGCCTTGCAAAACTAATCAAAGCTACTTAGTTCTTATCAGGTTTTAATGAATGGCTTTTAAATGTTTGAAATCGGTTCAGCCGTTTTTGAGAAAACCTTGAGTCAAAATTTGGCACACATACACACATCACATATGGTTTTTTCAAATTTGGTCTCAAAAAATTTAGAATGATTTTGAAAATAAGATTTTCTGGCAAAAACATTTCTTCTTTGAAAAAATGAGTAATTTTAAACCCAGTTGATTTTACATATAGTATAATGTTTGCAAAATTATGGAAATCTACTTCGAATATTTACCTTTTAAATCTTTAACGGCTTTGTCGAGAAGTTTCTCTTCATAGCTGTTGAGTTTTGGAATGCCGAAATTTCCCTCGACACCAGCTGGCCCTAGAAGAGTTGGCGTAGCTAAATATTTTACATCTGGATGGCAATTAGACCGAATGTAGGCAGGTTCAACTATATTTTTATCTCCTCTCTTGGCTCTACATAAACTGTACACAAATCTAGCACATGAGTAGGCCATTGAAAGAGTGGCTGATCCACTTCCATCAATATTCTTAGCTTTCACACACTGAAAATAATAATAAAATTTAATATACACATTTTAGATACATAATTATTAATCAATTATCAATTATTTTTGTCCATTTACCTCTGCTCCACCAGTCCTGACTCTCTTTGTTAGTTTTTCAATTTGGCATTTTGACAAATCATGTTTGGGAATACTTTGCGAGAAAACAGGAATAATGGTGTTGTTGGAATGTCCACCAATAACAGGAACATGTGTTTTTAAGGGATTGATCTTCATTCTGGCCGACAAGAATTTGTTGGCTCGGCTTGTGTCAAGTGTTGTGATGCCGATGATCTTGCGGGGATCATAAACTTTCGCCTAAAGTAATAGATATATGAGAAATTGTTAAAAACATGACTTAAAATATTATAGATGGCAACCCAAAGAGTTATCATATTTCAGCGTGATGAATTTATTATTATAATTGCTAAAATGTAAACAAACTAGACAATGTGATATTGATGCAACAGTAAAATTTTAAACTTAAGTTTTTTTAGTTCAGCACATACCTTTTTGTACATTTCAGAAACCATAGGTACTAAACTGTTGACAGGGTTAGTTACGATTAGAAGAATAGCATTTGGGGAAATTTTTGCAGTAACATCACAAATATTTTTAACAATAACTCCATTGAATTTAAATTGTGATGCGCGAGTTGTACCAGTTTTTCTACTACCGGCTCCACCGCAAGTAAGGATCACAATTTCAGCACCTATGGAATAAAAAAAGTCGCTAATTCAGTAAATTAATTCGTTAGTTTAATTAGGAAGAAACTTCCAAACAAGTTTAAGTTAAATCATTTACTTGTCTTATGCTTTTATTACCTCTAACAGCCTGACAAACGCAACCTAAACCTTTGAAAGATTTGACCTTGGCTTTGCTGTCAATATGGGATAAATCCAAGTGTACGCCATGGGTGTATGGTGCCAAATCCATCAGGCTTAATTTTGTGATTAAAGGACTTTGTTTCAATAGGAGACTAAGAGGCGCCCCAACTCCGCCGGTCGACCCTATTATAGAGACGTGATAGTTTTTTGCCTGAAATTAAATAAAAATAATATATCGATTATTATATTAACAATTCATAAGTAACATATTTGTAAAAGCAAGTACATTTTATTTACTTATTTAAATATCACTAAAATGTTTAGTAGGTCAATATTAACAAACTTAAAATATTGCCAAAGTATGTAAAATCATGAATTTTACATGTGAATATAATGCAAGTAAAATAAATTTATAGAATAATATAAACTAAAAACTTTATTATTAATTATATAAGATATGACATGTATATATAATATTAATAATAAACATGATGAATATTATAAAGCAATTGATAATAAGGAAAAAATAAATGATAAACCAATTACAGAATTCAAATAATAATAATAGAATTTTTTTTTAAATAAAACCAGTTGATAATAGTTAATCGAAACCATATTGAATTCACTTTGTAATACATGGATTCGGGACATTTTTTTCAATTCTTGCGAATAACATGTAAATTTAGTTTCGAGCACTCATTTTTATTTAGCTTAGTAGAAACTAGACAAAATTTTCATCAATTTCATTAAATACAATTTGATTAAAACTATAGTCAAAGTATACTTTGATTTCAAAGTATTATGTAGACCTGGAATATGACGATTCGGGAAATATTTTTACATTCCAGTGAATTTTTTTTTCAAAATAATTGTATTAAAATGATTTTATGTAAAACGTTATATAGTATCTATCTCCTATTAGTATCTAGTTCAAGCTTAAAATGTTCACTGGAAGTGCATCAGTACAACTATTAAGAAATTCCTCGATTTGTATAAAATTTATTAAAATTTGAATTCAGTACTGAGTGCGGATGCATTCGTAGCTATTTATTTAATAATCTACTTTAAATATCATTCTATTATAAAAATACTATACCGGCAAACATTTTGACATAAGAGACGAAGCTCGGTTTTGAATATTTTTCACAAAATTGCTAAACATCTTGTTGTATCCGGGGCGCCTCTTCTATGGATGATTCTGTTCAATTAATGGTGGAAAATTTACAAGAAATTTAGAAATTTTTATGGTTTTTAAAATTTTTAAGTTTTTATGAACATGATTGCATTTTGATTTTTTATTTTGTTATTTTCATTTATTTTGGCCAAGGCCAACTAAAGATTTGAAAAGAAAACAAAATTAAATTGACGAACAAAGCACGCATTTTAAAAATATATATTTGGATAAATAAAAATTACGCAGTTTAATTGCAGTCGAAATTGATTTAATTATATATTTATATATATATATATATATAATATATGTATATATTATATATACATATATATAAATATATTGAGGTATTTTAATTTTATTAATTAAAGGATATCATATTGTCAATGTCATTTTCTTCACTTAAACTTTATATATATATATATATATATATATATATTTGTTAGGAATATTTATATGTATATATGAACATATAGGAATTTAATGTCTACGAGTATGTAATAGTTTTATTTCAATTAGCCAAATAAATCTGATATATTTGGAACGAAAAAAAATAAGTTGATTATTTAAAAATCTCAGTTAAAATTTATTTAAGCTTTATCTGTATTCAATTTATGTAAATATAAAAAAACTCTATAAAATATAATATGCAAGTAATAATGTATATTACATAATTAAAAAAATTAAAATATAAGGCTGCTTGGTTTTATTTTAATTTTTTCCAAAAAATGGATTTAACCAAATAACTTAAAGATTACCTTAATTAGTACAATTCCATCTAATTGAAAATGTAAAACCACGTGTATATGTAATATTTAAATATGCTTCGTAGACATGAGGTGTTATTTCAAAGTAATCGCATTATCAGCGTTTTCAAATACCCAATTGATACTAATTCAGCAAATTTAAGCAATATAGGTCAAAAATTACGTATACGAACCTATACAAACATACGTATATACCTATACAATAGATTTTGACTATTACATCACTTCAATATAATTAGATATATATTATTTAAGTACAACGATAAAAAATATTTAATTAATATGAATACAAGAAATAAAAAGAGTCGTCTCTATTTTTTTACTTTATTTATAAAAATCTTCAAAAATATATATCGAATGAAATATTAAAATATAGTATATGAAAGAACCATTAAAATACGGATTACATAAAAAGTAAAGGTTTTAAAAGCAAAATATTATATAAAAAATCTAAAAGATCAAATACGAAAATTACAACATTGACATGTGTGAAACAATCAAGATTTCATATTATTTCATTTTAACCAATTCTATTTGCTTTTGGACGTAATGCTGACCCAAATCTAATTCTCGACTGAGTCGTATTAATGAACAGCGGACTAAATCTTCTTCTTGTTTGGTGATTTTTGGGATTCCGTAATTTCTCATTATTCCGTGTCGACCTATTAAATAAATAGGCGATAAATAATATTAATTAAAAATAATATTATGAATATGGTAATAAAAGTTCGTTTAGTCACAAACCATATGTGGTACACCAAACCAAAAATTTAATTGTCCATAGATTATGAATGGTAAAATGATGCATTTTCATATCTTTAACTAGCTGTAAGTGGAATTCTGTCTTAAGGCAATTATGGCATCGTGCCTTAAGGCAAATTGCTGGAACTTCCCGTACCAAAAATTATTTTTTTTTTTTAAAACGATTAACATTTTTGAAAAAAAATTACTTTGAAAAAATAAGATTTTTGAGAAACTATAAATTGGACAAAAAATTAGTTTTTTTTGAAAAAAAAAATTAAAAAAAAAATTTTTTTTAAAAAAAAAATTTTTTTTTTTTGAAAAAAAATTTTTTTTTCTTTATTTTGACATATTGTGGAAGATCTGAACTTTTTTTTCAAAGCAATCGTACTGCTTTAACTACATAGGGACAAAATATAAAGCGCGTAAGCGCCGCATCGCTGTCTAACGCATAAGCATTGGTACGGAACCGATAGGAATGTTAACAAAATGTATACTTATTGTTAAAATCTCTATAAAATGTCTGATAATTTGATGTGCATATGTCTAATGATCATTTTTGACCGCCAAATGACTCATTTTTTTACTTTTTCCTCTATATCTCCGAAACCGCTGGACCTACCTTCATGAAAGTTGTATGGATTCTTCATCTTGTCAATACAAATAAAATGTTTTTTGAATTATTAAAATCGGACGCTCCGTTCTCTTAAAAACGGAGTTACCGTTTTCGGAACTTTTTGCCCCGTATCTTCGGAACGGCTTGACCTGCCTTTGCCAAAAACTAATCAGCACGTCTCCTTATCAATACGGATCGAATGTTTTTTGAATTATTCAAATCGGCTAATCCGTGTTCCCGAAATCGTCGACGAAAATTTGTATCCGCACATACATACACACACATACATACATACACACACACATACACACACACATACACACACACACACACACACACACACACACACATACATCCATTTTTTCTAAGGTATGCCAAAATGTTCAGAAACCTCTGAAACGTAAAGATATATAAAAATTTTCATTTTCGATTTTTTTGCGATTACTATAACTTGCCCTACGGGAAGTTAAAAATACAGCGATGTATCAATGCGCATAATCTCGCTTATTATTTTGAACCAAAAATTTTCACTTTGAATGGCATATAATGTGTTTCATCTGAATTTTATATTAATTTATATCAGTACATTTTTATTATTATTTACCTAAAAGTATTGGCGATGCATAATAGGGAATATCAGGGAAAATTGTGGATCGGACCAGCGCGCACTCTACGACTCCAGGGCGCTCTACGATGCCGCAGCAAAGGGCGTAGACAAACCGGCCGATGGCGTAGGCTTGGGCCAGCTTAGGGCCGCCGACACCGTCAGTTCTTCCTTTGCCTTCAACCTGCAATGAAAACAAATACAGCCTGATATGTCCGAACTGATATATCCGAAAATTTATTATTTCATCATATATCTCTTACGAATTCTTCGGCGCATTGCACTCTCCGAACAAGCTGATGATAGAGCTTAGCGCTTGCGTCGAAATGAGGTTTGCATTGAGAGAAAAGCGGAACAACTGTCCGACCAGCATTACCGCCCACAACTGGGACATCCACGTCCAGAGGATTCTTGTTGATCTCTCGGCCGGCAAACGTATTCGCTCTCACAACATTCAGAGTCGTTATGCCAAATATTTTACGAGGATCGTAACACGCAAACTGTAACAGAAACATGGAATATTTAATAAAAATTTTATGTGAAAAAATTATTTGGATCACTCACAGTTCGGAGTGTTTCTGTAGCTATTGGCATCACACAGTTTAGGGGTTCGACGCAAATGCATATTAAGCTGTCCGGGCAGACTTTAGCCACATGTAACATTTTCTTGAACAGTTGCCTTCCATTTATGTTTAGTAAAAGTGCTTCTTCCGCTGGTAATGGACATCTGTCGTTTGACGGAGTAATCACCACAATATTCGAACCTAATAATAAAAATTCATAACAATAATAAGAAACAATCTGAACACTCGAGAACAAATCAGATATTTTTTCACTTTTTTAATATCAGAAAGCAACATACACATTTTTACTCGTTAACACCAATACAATCAATCATTCAAACACACACAATTTCACAAGACAACAATAATGATATTATCAATTATCTCATCATTATTTTAACCTGCAAGAGCTTCGTCTAATTTGTCAACACCATAAAAGGAACGGACTTTGGTTTTGGATTCGATGTGGGCCAGATCCAATGCGATGCCCGGACTGAAAATAGCTTCATCGTAGATGTTTAATCTAGTTATGTATATGTTCTGTTTCAAGAGTAATGCCAAAGAACCCCCTACTCGGCCACTGCTTCCGATCAGCGTTACTTGGATTGTTCTCTGAGGAAATAGACAAATATTTTTATTAAATTATTTAAACAAGATCATAGATTTTTAATAAATTGAGTTATGTAATTTTACTATGTTATATATTGCTCTTTCTATTAGTTCTATTATTAATTTTTGTTAGTTAGTAAGTATGTTGCATAAAATCCTAATGCAAAGTGTGAAAGAAGTTTATAGATTATTTAATGTAAAATTTGCCATTTATTTTACTATCTATTTTACATATGTAATTATCATGAGATTGAATTATCATGATCATACCGAAGTCCCCGCGAGCGTTCTTAGCCATGTCTGCGAACATTTTGCCGGCGCTAGCAATTTCCTGTACATCACATTAGTTGAGGTAATCGGCACTTATTTGTCTTAAAGGCATTAAAATTCACATTAAGTTTTTAAAAAGTAAAATAATAATTTGACAGTACCATTAGGAATTTTGTTTCGTTCAATTTATTGGGGTTGACTCGGCCGGTTCGAGTTTATTTAGATTGCACGCATTAATTTTTTTGTATTTTAGATGTCATGGTATAATTGAAAACGTTTGAAGAATTAGTATTTTTTAAATGTCATTCAGTTTTTTAAACAAAATCAGTGATAGTCAAGTTATTCAATTGTTAAAAAACTTAAAATAGATATAAAAATAATAAATATTAATTAATTAAATTATACGATGCATTCAATGCAAGAAATGGTAAAGAATTAAAATTTATTTTAATTAACTTGAAATTAATTAATATATAATATTTTATTTTATAAATATACGTAATTCATAATGCAATTATTTTATTGTGATAATATAATTTCAAAGAATATCAAAGTAAATATTACATATATATCAAAAAGACACAATTTGCTTCATAACCATTTCTTTCACTTTCTTTGCCAAATGTGGTAATTATTTCTAGTGATGATTTCCTACTCTCTTATAGAAATTTTCCGATGTTGATCTTCGCAACAATAAAACTATTCAAGGTAAATATCCGAGTCACTTCCCAACAACCGCATCAATGTTAAGACCGTCAAACGCCCCGTCAAAATGTTTCCGTATTTACTAAACAAAATAATAAATATAATGAATAGAAGACTCTACATCATGTCTCACTGCAATTTATTTACAAACATTAATATAAAAATATTTAAATTCTAGAAGATGTATATAAGGGTAATACGTTTTTCCAATCGGTACAGTTATACCAATTTTTCTCAAGGGGTACCATTGAAATGGACTTTAAACTTTTTTTGTTAGCGGCTATTGCCGCTTTGGCTATTAATGAGGTAAATAATATATAAAATGATTAAAATTAAAATAAATTGCATAACCACGTAATTAAAATCATTCAATATTTTCAATGACTAATTGATTTTTCTCTTTTACCCAGGCTTCAGCAAGTTGCGCTTGCAAGCTGACCGGAGCCGATGTTTGCGGTTGCTCCGGTTCGGTAGTTCGCCCTGCGCCCATCAAGAAACCGGTTCCAGCCAAACCTCAAAAGATTTGTAAAATGATTGGTGGAGTCGAACCTCTTGCTCCAATTGGCGATCCTTGCTCTTGTGATAGCCAACTCGTTGTGCCTGCCATTCCTGCTCCTGTACCCTGCACAAAGGTAATAAATGATACACACATCGATTTTAATCTAACATTATAATTAGATATTATACAATTAAAAATATTACCAGTAAATTAGATTTTTGAACGTTTTATTTAATTTTTATGCATATTAAATAAATTTGAACGAGTAATTAAGTTTGAAGTACTTACTGCATATTTAAGCAAAATTGTTTGACCATAGGAAATATTGATTTATGAAAATTAATTGAGTTCTTATGCACCAATTTTTATTTTTATAATAAATAAAATAATTACAAAAATGATTTATTTCAGCATGACACCGATTAAAAAACTGGTTATTGAAAAATTGCAATTAATTTTCTTTTTTATTCTTGAACTCTCATATCCGTCTCATATGTGTTATTTAACTTTTAGTTCAATAGTTTAATTATTAATTCAATTGATTAAAATTGGTCTAATTATGTATTAGATAGTTTGTCTTATATATTGATATTTCTATTTCAGTTGAAGATCGATTTGGATGCCCCACCCTGCAAATATGGATGCGACTACCCAGCAATTCCTCTCGGTTTCCACGACTGTTACAACGAACCCGCACCCAAAAAACCAGCAGTTCCTGCTGACCCTGTCTCCCTAATTCTTGCCTACGAACTTGCCCAAAAAGCTGCCGCTGCCGTACCAGAGGAAAAATTGCAATTCGGATTCCGCAAGAAGCCAGAAGATGGTATGTTTAAAAAGGTATTGAAGAACATCCCCGAAGAAAGATTATTCGGAGTTGAGCGTGAAATTGTTGAATTAAAATTGCCCAAAATTGCCGCACCAGTCGTCGAAGAATTTGAGGAAAGCGCTGAAGCTGATGTTGTCGTTCCTCCTGCTGCATTCTTGTCTTACAGCGATTTGGGCTATGGACCAGTGAAACGTAAGTAAAAATATAATAGAAATAATTATTAACTCTTTCAACATGCTGATATTTCGATATTGAGATTTTTAACCTAATTATTCCTTTCTCCAGCATCAGCCCCACAATTCCTGGTGAAGAAGCCCGGCCTTCTGCCTCCACCACCACCACCACCATTGGACTTCGACTGCGGCTTTGTCCCCGGAAAAATTGTCATTCGTGATCATTTGCACTTCGATAAACCCAGACCTTGTGGATGTGCAGCCGATTCCATTGAAATCTATTCCTCATTAGAAGATTCTCATGAAGACTTAGCCCCTTGCCCGTGCTTGAAGAAACCAAAACTTAAAAAGCCATGCTTTTTCTAAATGAATATTGATACAAGAAAGACTTTCCATTGAGAATTGAAAACTATTTGACTGAGCTTTGTGCTCTATATTTTGTGCTTGTGTGTGTGTGTCCATGTGTGTATGAAAGTGATTTGAATGTGAGAGTGAATGATGAAAAGTACATTTGACAAATCTGAAAGATTACATAATTGATGCAATTAAAAAAATAAACTGAGTTTTAACGAAATTTCTACTGCATTTCATTTAGTTTTCATATCTTGTGAGAATAAGTGAAGTTAATTTCAAACTAGACAATTCATCTCCAAATTACATATAAAATTTAATTTTAAATAGTTACAATTAATAAAAATGTGTATTTAATTAAAAAATAATATCATTTTATTAGTAAGTTATTTTAAATATACTTGCAATAAATCATTATTACCGACATATCTGCCGTGTTTTATTTATATTTGAAATATTTAAGTTTATGTGAAATTCATTTATATAGAATTATTTTGGACCACTTGAAACAACATTATGTATTATACAAAATTTTTTGATTATGTTAAGTTTGATTTGATTAAGTAATTAAGTTACTGTATTCAAAAAATTGCATATAGTCGATTGGCTTCATCAATTATTTTAAATATTATTAAAAACAAATAGATTACACACATATAATGATATTAAACGTAATAAATTAATATTTTCTCTTTTCATTTATGATTGATCAAAATATCTTTTAAATTCATTTGTTCTATAAAGTTTATTAATTAGTGCGATATTTTCAAATCTGTACCATCAGGTTCAAAATTCAGGTTGTCAGGTCTGTGACCTTAAAACGCTCAATAATGACCGCGAAATTCTAGCTGACAATAAATAAATATTTTCAAATAACTTTCTGTATACACAAACAATTAGCTCATTGAAAATGTATAGTGATGAATAAATTTTTTATTATAGATATCAAGAATTAAGTTTAATATTTAAATAGATTACTATTAGAGTTTAAAGTTTAGATTAATGGGAGGAACTTGAATTATTTAAATTTAATATAAAGATAAGCTTGGTAAAATAGTCGATAACAAATGTTTTTAGTATTTGTAGTACCTAGTACTCATATTAAGTTTTATAATTATTTTATTCCATTAATATGAGTAACATCTACAGAATCCATTAGCAATATTTTATCATTATAATTTTTTTTGTATGATAAGTTTTTATGAATTATGTGAGTATTATTAATAAGAAAAATAAATATTATATATACTATTAGAAAAATGTTTATTTATAAATAAATCGTAGTTTGTTATCTAATATCGATATCATTCAATAGCTTTATAATAAGTATCTACATAAAATGCACTATTGAAAACATAATTTGCTGCTTAATTTTATAAACTTCAAATTATTGCGTAAACATGGTATGATTTGCTGAAGTTATTTTCAATAAAGAATATTTTTTAAGAAAGTTACTACAAAAAAAAGTTAAGTATATTATTCCGTCTTGAGATCTAAACAATCAGAAATAAAATGAATTTAAATCAGTTGATTATATAAAAATATTCAAAAGAATAATACACAAATTACGTTGTCTATAAAGTTATTAAAAATAAATAATCTACACTTTATATTTATTATATTAAATATTTAAAAAAAATATTAATTATTTCTTAGATTTATTAAGAGGCTTAAAAAATGCAACAGTGATGCATTATAGCCTATCAGCACAATGAATAGTTGTTAGTTCTTTAAACTGTATATATAGATATTAGCATTTTTCAAATATTGCTTCTCATCTCACAAAGCCCATTCAAGTCCCTGTTTTTAACATATTTAAAAAAACTGATGTATTTATTCATGCTTTACTATTTTTGCTGCAAAGTTCATATGAATAGTGGAAGTTGTAGCTGCCTTGAAATTCTCAAGGCATTTTTCCCGAGCTTCCGTATCAAGTATCAAAAGTAATCTAAATATTTTCTCTTATATTTATATACTTATAAAAAATAATGCCAAACAACGTAATATCAGCACAAACACACGAACTTATAAAAAGTAGTGTTAACTTAATTTTGGTCGATAGTGCGTGTTAATTTTTAAGAGTGCCGAGTGAATTCGGTATGAAATCTGTGGCAGTTTTGTTTGTTTTGGCCCTGTGCTCTTTGGCACATGGCTACCCTCCTTGTCCTAATGTAAGTGAAAAAAATTAACTACCGAAAATTTAATTTTTGACGTAGCTCTTCGTGTGTTTATGACAAAAAGACTGAATATTCAATAATTAAATTTCAATTCTACTTACAGTGTCCGCCCTGTCCTCCTCCACCACCGCCAGTGCACTACTGCAAGAAGCCGGAAATAATTTGGACCGGAGATGCCTGCGGATGCACCTCAACCTTGCCTTACCACGTCGAAGTACCAAAACCCGTTGAACTTGTTATTCCGAAAAAAGATTTAGGATACCAACTTGCATTTGCTCCGGAGCCTGTTGACTGCAAACGATACATATTTGATTACCAGGTTCAAGTGCCCATTGTTGAGGAAAAGCCTATCAAATTGTAAGTAGAATCATAAGTAATTATTTTGGTAACTCCAAATTATTTTATTATAATTCACAAGTTAAATTTCATTTTTATTTATGACACTCTATTATGTAATTGTAAGTCCCTCAGGGCATATGTAACTAATTTTTCTTATACTCTGAAAATTTTAATTTTATTTATGAACTATAGAAAAATAGAAACATTTTTTGTATATACCAAAACTGATAAATTTTGTTCTCTTAAGGCATGATTGTGGTTACATTTTGGATATTCCACCCCCACCCCCGCCAGAGAAACGCTACAGATTCGATTATGAAGTGGAAGTTCCTTGCACTTGTACTTGTAAACCGAGCTTTTTGGACTTGTCAGCTCATGTTGATAGAATTGTTTTGCCCAAACCAGGTAAATAAATACTGTATTCAATTCATATAGTTTTTCAATATACAATTAAAAATTCAAACTGTAATATAAACGAAAAATGTAAACTATAATATATCTATTTCTCATGATTTACCTTTTAACAATGTTTTTTTTCCAGATTGCTGTATTGTCGCCGAAGGTGACTGTCCATGCAACAAATACAAACCCCACATCGAGCCGTTGGTCAGCTGCCCTCCTCCGCCCCCAAAGCCCCCAAAGAAGTGCAAGAAGCCAAAACGCGTCGAGTGCTTCTGCGAAGAAGTTGACCCCAGGTATGCGTCTCAATGTAGACACAAACGTAGCATTGAATCCGGTGAAAATATTTCAAGTATTGAAATTACAAATGACTCTTCTGATGAAAATGATTCGATTATTCAAGAATTGCCTGTTGTTGCTTGTGATTTAGAAAATGTCGAAAAACCTGACAATAGTAGCCAGAAGATAGATGAAATAGGTGAAGGTAATGTAGTAAGTGTGCAAGTTAATAAAACTAAACAGAATAAGAAGATAGAGTTTAAACTGGGTTTGAAGTATTATGTATCAGATCCAATTGAATATTTAGAGGATGGAGAGTCTAAAATCGTGTATGACTATCTGGGCCACAAATACATCGAGAAAGATGGACGTTTACAGATTGTGAAACCAGCTTTTTATTTGGAAGAAGAAGTAATAAGCGCTGAAATTACTATAGAACCAAAAGTACCTGAATCAAATTGTACCGAAGTAAAAGATTTGAATACACAGAATGTTACAATAACTGTACACAAAGCAAATAATCCAACTGTTGCCAAAACTGTCAATAAAGAAGTTGATGCCATAGATGATCTAAGCAAGAATTTAGGATCTATACTAAGTCTTTTGGTTCAAGATAAACATACCGATTTGGCAGATGCTTTAGGAGATGTGTTAATGGGAATGGCAGAACTTGAAGATATGAAGACTACACTTGAAAAAGATTTAATAAACAAAAAGTCGAAAGTCGTTAGACCTGTTGAAGTCATGAAACCGATGGAAAAATTGCCTAGTCCAATTGAAAGTAGACCTCCCATACCTGTAGAAAGACTGCCATTACCCATTACCAATAGAATGCCTGCTCCTCTTGATAGACTACCTCCTCCATTAGATAGATTGCCAGCACAAAATTCAAATAACTTCCCCACTGCTTTAGATAAAATTCCACTGCCTATTGAGAAGATACCAATACCACCACAAAGATGGATCCAACCAACAGAAAACAAACCATCACTACCAGTAGATGTTTTGCCATCACCAACTGAAAAGAAACCACAATTACCTTCACCATTTATGAAGAAACTAAACAATGATCCGTTACAAGCTAGCTTATTACAAACTGGAGCAGGATTAAGAGAAAATTTACAAGCACAACCAGTTGATCGGATACAATCAGGCTTATTGCAAAATGGAGCAAATTCACAACCACAACCAGTTGATCTGATGCAATCAGGCTTAT